TAGGCGACAGCTGGAATCTGGCAGTTGAGTTATTAAAAGTACAGCCTAATAAAAGTCCTATAGCATTTGTTTGTATTAAACATCTCAAAATTTCTAGTTTCTCTGTCCATGAACTACAGCAGTAGCTCCTGTTTCGTCTATCACTGTTGCCATCGCAAACCTCCTGATGCTGCTGTCTGCCTCTGCCTCCTTGCTTGATTTCCCTTGACTGCACATGCTGCCCTCCTCTCTGTTCACACCCCAGCTCCTTAGACAACATTTTATGACAAAATTTTAAAAGCTCATCTTCAATAGAAAACTTGAGGTTTATATTATTCTCTGCCTCGTTTGAGCTCATCCAGTCTATCAACTGTTCCAAGCAGAAATGATAATTTTTTATTGTTGCTATATGTTTTCCTAGAGATGCACTAGTAAACAGTAAGTCCTCATGCAGCATGCTGTTCTGTGTTCCTCTGTGGTATCTGCTAATCTTGACTGTGCCTGTAAATGTTGTTTTTATGCTGAAAACAATAAATAGCTGTAGTGATCACTTGTAATCAAGGAAGTAGCATTTTAGGTTTTTGTGGTCTTGCCTAGCTGAGGTGAGAGTTGATGACACAGATGCCAAAACACAGAACAAATGCCACAGGTAGGCTCATCTTTCCACTTAGGCAGACAAAGAACAGGACAAGGAAATTACAGCGACTTTTTTCAGTTACAAAATGGTGAATGGAGTGGTGCTGAATGGTGCTGCATCCAGTTGGCAGCTGGTCACTAGTGGTGTCCCCCAGGGATCAGTGTTGGGCCCAGTTCTATTTAATATCTTTATTGGTGATCTGGATGAGGGGATTGAGTCCACCATTAGTAAATTTGAAAGTTGGGGGGGCATGTTGATTTGCTGGAAGGCAGGAGGGCTCTTCAGAGGGACCTGGACAAGCTGGAGAGATGGTCTGGTTCCAGCAGGATGAGGTTCAACAAGGCCAAGTGCTGGGTCCTGAACTTTGGTCACAACAACCCCCTGCAGCGCTACAGGCTGGGCACAGAGTGGCAGGAGAGCAGCCAGGCAGAAAGGGACTTGGGAGTTTGGATTGACAGGAAGCGGAACATGAGGCAGCAGTGTGCCCAGGTGGCCAAGAAGGCTGATGGCATCCTGGCCTGTATCAGGAACAGTGTGGCCAACAGGACTGGGGCAGCTATTCTTCCCCTCTACTCAGTGCTGGTGAGGCCACAGCTCGAGTGCTATGTCGAGTTCTCAGCTCCTCAGTTCAGGAAGGATATTGAGGTGCTGGAGCAGGTCCAGAGAAGAGCAACAAGGCTGGTGAAGGGACTGGAGCACAAGTGCTATGAGGAGAGGCTGAGGGAGCTGGGGTTGTTTAGCCTGGAGAAGAGGAGGCTCAGGGGAGACCTCATCACTCTCTACAACTCCCTGAAAGAAGGTTGTAGCCAGATGGGGGTTGGTCTCTTCTCTCAGGCAGCTATCAGTAAGACAAGAGGGCATGGTCTTAAGCTGTGCCAGGGGAGGCTTAGGTTGAATATTAGGAAAAAATTTTTTACAGAGAGAGTAATCAGACATTGGAATGGGCTTCCCAGGAAGGTGGTGAATTCTCCGTCCCTGGAGGTTTTTAAGATGAGACTGGATGTGGCATCAGTGCCATGGTCTAGTAACCACGGCAGTGCTGGATCAAGGGTTGGACTTGATGATCTCAGAGGTCTTTTCCAACCCAGTTGATTCTATGATTCTATGAAAATGAAGTTTCAAGCCTTTTCTTCTGTAAAACTCCTTCAGATCTTTACACAGAAGGTGCTATGTTAAAACAAAGTACTGGTACTGTGCATAGTGCTTCAGTAAAAGTATGTTTGCTTTGAAATTTCTGTGAGAACAGATATCTTTTATTTCAGTATTTTGAAGGCAGTAAGTGGTAGTGAGATGAAATTGAATTGAATTATTTCACTGTGTTGATACTACCAAAGCTGCAATCATTGGCCTCTTTGTTCAGAGGATTGGGAATTCCTGTACATAGTTTAAAGACTGGGATTACATGTAATTAGTGTTAATGCTAATTGCATGATAGGCTCCATTAAATCCAAGCACTCTCTCTTCTCTTTAGCAGTTGCACTCTAAAGTAGAGTTTTGAGCTCTTTTTGGGGTAGGTTAATCTCCTGTCAGTGAAAAACACAGAGATGTAATCACTAATCCAAGAGAAATATATCCACTTGTTTTTAAAACCAAAAAGTGTCCTGCTCCATCGTCTTGTCTCACACATTTCAGTGTGTCACTTTTCTTAATGATCTGGTTAAGATTTGCAAAATAGTGAGCTAACAAAAGATTGCAGTGTACTATGAAGCAGTGTGGGTGGGGACCCTTGAAGTCCAATTTTTTTTTTATTTTAGCTGTATTATGGAATTGCAGTCCATGCAGGATACACTGGAAGTGCACTACTGTATTGTATGTAACAAAGGACTAGAAAGTTTTATGAGAGTAAATGAAAAAAGAGAAAAACGTAAACTCTATTGCAGAGAATGCAAGAAAGTGGGATTTGGGCTGCTGTTGAAATATAAGTACTGTAAATGCTGACTGCCATAGTATGGAATTTATGGGAAATAAAGCCTTAAAATATTTTTCCTCTACCAAAAAGAGGGAGAGGTGGTAGGAGGAACCCCTCCAGAAACTGTGGATTTTTTATTATATGTCTAACTTCTTTCAAAGTTTTAAATTATTTTCTGGTATGACAAACATTTCAATGTGGAGACAGAAAGGAAGACTAAGAAGTAAATTAGTCTGCGTATTTTTAGAGATGCATTCAGTAGATAGCAATTCCAAAACACATAGGAAAGTTCTGGGTTCACAAATTCAGTTTCCAGATGTCATTACTCTAAATACACAAAATGTGATGTATTTATCACATTAAATAAATATAAATAAAGTAAATCACATTATGTGTATCAATAGCATGCAGATAATTGCATTGAAGATAAATTAGTAAAGCACGTTTTGAGATTACGTTATTTTTTTTGAAGCCACGATGTTGAGTGTCCTTTGGCCTCAGTGTCGGACCTATTGCACTTGCTGATATGAAACCAGGAATTCAGGGTGTTGTAGTGATTCATATTCACTTTCCATCTTTATTATAGGCAATAGCAGCCTGATGTCTTCTACTACCTTGGTCTGAAAATTTGATTAAGCATGTGCTTAGAGTTGAGCATAGACAGAAGCAGGATTTTTCAAATTTTTTCTCCTCACCAGTTCTTTCTCAGAAAACTTACTTTCTTTGCAGTTTGTTACTCAGTCATGAAAACGCATAATGTTCACAAACCATGAACAGTAACAAAAAAGTGCAAACTGTCATACCAAGTTCGCTCTGGATCTTGCATGTAATAAAAATACTTAAATCCTGATTCATTCGCAAGCAGAAAAGATTCAAGGTTCAATTAATATAATTGACATCAGCCAGTTTTAACCTTTCACATCATCCACGTCAGTTTTTGCAACATTGTTCGGTAAGTCTCAATAAAGATACCATGTATTTTGCTGCTGTCTTTGTTGGATGGTATTGAAAGAAGCATCTAAGCAACAGTTCTTTTCTGTCGAGCTTTCGAGCTTTTCCTTAGGGGTTCATAAACTAGGAAAAAGTAATTTTCAAGTCTGGATCAGCACATCTCTTAGTCTTTAATGACATCCTTAGCTTCTGAATGGACATAGTATGGGCTGTGTGTCTCATCTACCTACCAGCCTTCTAATGGGAATCCTTCTGCATGTCACTGCCTTATGAGCATAGATGTTACCTCTGCTTTCAGTGGCTTGCCATGGTTGCTGTAAAATAGCATATTTTTTAAGAGTAACTGAGTAGCCTTTTGGTATATTGAAAAAAATATCTGTGCTGTCTAAAAGGTGGGCCTTCATGTGAGCTATGTAAAGGACATGAAGTCATTTTGCTTGAGTGAGAAGTTTGGTGTCTGCAGCATGCTTTACACAAAAGTTTCTTAACAGACTATCCTACCTGGTTACTGCTTTAAACTGTTGGAGAAAATTCTTGTCTTCTGATGCCATCTCGTGGCTTCAGGAGAGAGAGGCAGTCTGTGTAATTGCCATTAAGAGTCTCTGTTTTGCTAAAAGATCTTATTTTAAATAACCAGCGTCCTGGCATTTGACATATTTATCCAAATACAAGTGGCAGGAAACCTTGTATAAAAAAGCATCTACAGCTGGATCTTAGATTGGAAATACTAGCAACATGAGTACTACGTTTAGGTTTTAGCATGGTAGAAATCCTTGCAGGCAGCAATTTCACACCTTCCGGTGTAAGGTGTTAGCTTGGGTTCAAGTTGTGCATATGTTTGTATGAGGGTGTACTCATGAAAAAGTTGGCGGAACTGGTACCTTAGATTATTATCTTTATAATTGCTTCAACATGTTACTTAGATATCCCTCCAAGTGCTGCACTTTGCATCTCTCAAAGTGATTCCATGTAATCCTATTAAACAACTTTCTGAGACATACAGGAACCGGTATGGACTTTCAGGCTGTCTGCATGTAGTTTGTAGTTTGGTTTTTCTTTGCTGATGCAAAGCATCTTGTAACATCTCCTATGCATTTAGATATTCTAAAATACCTTCCTTATTTGCAGAACCTGGGATTACCAATCTCACAAGTTTTACAACCAGCAGCACTTGTGGTACAGTGCAGTTTGCATGTGTGGGACTACAACACAGCATCTCTAGACCCCTATGAAAGGCTGTGTAGTTCCACATGGAGCCAAGCAAAAGGTCACAGGCTTGGGGATCTTTGATAACTTTTTTTGACTACCTGTTTTTTGGAGGGAAGAAGGAGCCTATGTTGAGATTGGTGGATAGGTGTGAGGAGGCCTGCTTTTCTTACCAACTTTATGAAGTGCTGTCACTTATGCTGTAGGCATAAGTTCTGAAATGTCCAAAAAAAGTAAGATATAATGAAGAAAAGATACTTCCTGCATTTGCATACAGCACTGTGTCACAGAAATATTTATTGTTGCACTTCTTCATAGTTGCTGTTATATGAGAGAGGCTGGATGAATAGATGGAAGCCTTCGGTTTTACATGAAGGGGAAGGAAATATAAGAAATGTAAAATGGAGAGGACACTTAATTGCTTGGGCCAATAATATGGTAAGTATTTGCCGCCTCCATTAAATGAACAAAAATATCTCTGTGTTACAATGATTATTGAAATTTTTCTATGTTTATTTCCATGTATTCCATTGAAAAATGATACATTTGAAGAATCAGGTATAAAAGGCATTGAAGGACAGTGTTTAGATGCCATTTCTTTGTAGAAATTTCTTCAGGAATTTCCTGCTGGATAGTCAGTGTTCTCCAATATGATTGCCACTTCTGAAGAAATTAGGAAAAGTAGCTCTACATACCACTGTTGCGAATGGTCATTACTGTATGCTGTTGCACATTAGAGTTTTGACCAGTACAATTTATTGAAGCAGACTGAGGAAGAAATGTCAGTGTAGCTATTCTTTATATTAATAATAGAACATCTCCATTCCCTGCCACCCCTGGGGAAAAAAAACCCAAAACTATCTGGATTATGTAATTTGTACTGAAGTGACATTGTCATGTGCACTTTTAATGTTGCAGATTATTTAAAAATATAGTAATAATTTCTCATTGTGTTAGGCCACTAGAAAAGGCTAGACTTAGAAGAAAATAGACACCTTTTGTTCTAAGTGTAATTTGTATTTTAAAGGAAACTTTTGCATTCATTCTGAGTGTTGCATTTCACCTATCACTGTATATCTAATTGATGGGTCACGATCCATGTTTTAAAGCTCAGCAGTGAGGGATATGTTTTTAAGTGTGTACCATGTCTAAATTCCAAAGTATTTTTTTAAATGTGGTGAAAGTACTTCTGAAACACTAACTTTTTTTCCTTCTATTATTATTCCATCCTAAAGGGAAGCATTTATTAAAATATTTTAAAGGCATTGTTGTTTTTTATAACTTTGATATAAAATTGTTGCAGGTGGACTTTTGTTTATTTGCTTGCCTTTAATAACTCTATTCGAATGGAAGCTTCATTGAGGGTTTGATTGACACATTAGCTTTTTTGAAGGTTTTGTTCTTTTCAGAGCCATACAATTAAAATATGTATTCTAGGTGAATCTGCTGGGGATGGATAGGACAGTTGAGGAGAGCTATCCCTAGAGATGATATGCCACATCAGAACACAGAATACTAATAAAACACTGAGAGCCATCTGTCAGAGATGAAAAGCCATGGTCAGGGCCTATCTTTCAAGGAAAAATGAAATGAAACTTGCCCTCCAAAAGATTAATATATTTGGTTATTGGCCTTTCCCTTCCCCTTTACCCTCTTTACCTTTTTTAGATTTCCTCCATCCTCTAGCAAGGTTTTGTGTTACACCTTTTTCTTTCAAAATCAGACAAAATCTTTTGTAATCTTGCTTCTTACTGTCTTTGTGTGGCTACCTAGTTTTTATTTTCTTAAGCCCTTTTGGTTGGTGGGGCACACTGTGTGAGAGCTTTTTAGACTTTGGATATTCTGAGGTTATTTAGGCAAAATGTAATTCTGCTTATCAGATGCTCAGGTAACCCGTGTTGTTTGCTGCTGTGCCCTCTTGTCCTTCTTCCATGGCAATGAGTGTAAGTTTTACAAACTGAGTTATCTGAGGACCAAATCTTGAGAGGCATTTGGCTGCCTGACTCCCATTTGATCAAGTTGACTTTGGAAGTCCTTTCAGTTCATTATGCAAATGGCATACTTACTGTTTAAAGAGAAGCTGCTGCCCAAGTGTTCTCACACCATTCAAGGAGTCACATACGCACCACCTCAGACTGTAACTGCAAGTTAAGTCCCTTCACAGCAAGCAGCTCCAGAGAGGCAGCAGATGCCCCTTTTGACCCTTTGCTCACTTCTTGTGAACCTGCTCACTGGCAGAGCATGGGAAATTGAAAGTCCTTCATTTAGAGTAAGCAATACATAGCAACAACTAAAACATCTGTGTATTATCAACATTATTCTCATACTAAATCCAAAACACAGCACTGTATACCCGCTAGTAAGAAGAAAATAATTAATTCCCAGCAAAAAGCATATCTAGGTGTAAGTACACAGTTTGCTGCCTAAGACTTCAAAAAATCGAGCTACTCATGCTAAGCAAATAAACCTAAACAAACAGCATACTACATCACAATATTATAACTCTAAATAACTTACTCTTATTTAAAACTTATTACATTAAGCAACCTGTAACTATAGAGGATCCTACACTGTTAGTTGGGAAGGCACTTTAAACATTAAAGGTAGCCTATCCCATGTAAGATTTGCTTCCTTGTAGAAAAACAGAAGTTGTGATATGGGGTCACTTTTACCTGAAAATGATCCTTGAAGACAAAGTACTAGGATTTATAACGATTTATAAAAGGCAACTTTATTAAAATGCAGTTCAAGCAAGATTAGAAATTTTATCAGATAAGTGTAGAAAACACAAAACATAAGCTCCTTGTTTATGTTAACCCAAAGATCTGGGCTCTGTACTTTGCAGATGCGATGTGCAAGATGGTGTTCTTTTGGTTTTGAAACCTTGGTGACTGCTAACTGAAGAGAAGTCAATAGGAGTGTCTTCAGTGCCCGTAGTTTTTCAGTGACAAAGATCACTGAAAAAAACCCTTCAACCACCCTCATACCACTTACTGTTCCTTGTGATTAAACCAAAAAACCAAGGCAGCAAAACCTGGCTTAGACCATGACCACCCTGTGTTGACTCTGACTTTCAAACAGTTGTATCTGTGCAGCTGGGGACACTGAAACTCACGATGTGGGGAACAGAAACAGACAGAGGAATCTTTTAAATCACTTTTGTCACTAGAAAAATACTAACATAGCGTGGCATCCTGGACACTGACCTTTCAAGATCCTTTCCATTTCCTTTTCTGTGATTCTGAGAGTTGTTCTTTAAGCCCTATGAGCAGAAAAGAAATATTTTATTTTGGAGATTTTTGTTTTAAATTACTAAGAACAAGTCATTATTTAACATAAAATTAATCTCCATTTTGCTATTGAAAAGGTTATAGCTTCACCTTGTCTAAATGGCATGGAAAAATCTGATTAATGACTCTTTTTTTTTTCTCTGTCTCTCAAATGACTTTAATCTTTCTTTTTTTAAACTTTTTTTCTGATAGTTTAGGAGATTCCCTGAGGACGCAGTGAAAAAGCACAGCATACAAAACCAAATATTGTTTAAATATGCTTGCTTTTCTATTTTAATATAAGAGTAGAAATGCATTTCCTGAGAAGTACAGATTGGATTCATTTATCTTAATGAGCTGTTGCTTTTCTTTTCAAGGTGGAAATTTCTGTGTCTCTACAGGGGCTTTTATGAAAAAGCTGAGATTTTTTTTGTTTCTCCAGGAGTAGCACCAACCCAATGAAATGAACTGGTTCATGCCTAAAGTTGCTAATCTGTCACTCATTCACTTATTATGTCTTTTTATTTGGCATGTAAATTTAAAATATCTAAATTACTCTGATCCCTTTGCTCCTTTTGTCACCTTCTGGGTTACATGGGTCTTTGTATCAACACTTTTTTCTGTTAGCAGACTTGACCCTACCCTGAAATTTACGCTGTAAACTGCTCTGGCTGCCTTAGGTACAAAATGGTGAGTAGGAGTTTGTCATACATAATAAAGTTCTCTTGCATTTAAACTTTCAGGGCGTGAAGATACTTGATATGATCTCCAAGCAAAGAATTACCAATGTGCCTCGAGACGACATAAGCCTTCGCCCAGATATGTATCCCTGCAGCCTTTGCTGGAAGGATAATTTAACGCTGATTATTGGCTGGGGAAATTCAGTAAAGGTGCAATTACCTGTCTTTGTAATAAATGCTTGCTGTTATCACAGACAAACAGAGGATTATTTCTGAAAAGCAAAGACAATCGAAAAAAATAGAATTTGGTTTGACTACAGTGTTCAGAAGTCCTACTGCCTTAGAAATGTCATTGGAGTGACCCTTATGAAAAGGAGGAGTGACAGACGCCCAGCGGTCAGACAGATCTCTGTGTGTGAGCATGCAGTGAATGTAATCGTCAGGGACATTTCGCTTCTCTGTACCTTGAAGAGATTTCCTCTTTTAAAAGCTTGTAGTGTGCTATTGAATTCATTTCTTTTGATTAGCATTAAGGAAGAACAACTTACCATGAGGTATTTTTGGAGGGGATTGCTTTGGGGGCTGAGGAGGTTGTGACTGCTAAAACAGCCACATGATTGTAGTCAACCATGGGAAAAAAAAGGTGGAGTGGGAGGACAGGCTGCTTTGGGTTTTGTTCTCTTTCAGCAGGGCACTGGCATTTTGAACTTGTGTGCTGCAGACTATGATTTTCTCAGAGCAGCACCTGACATGAGTTTGTTACAAGCCTGTTAGCTCTTTTCTAATAACAGACTGCTGCATCACTGCACAGTGGGAAATTAAAACTGCTTGGTAGGAATAGATGGAAAGGGAGGGTAAAGTGGGGTAGGTGACGTGTAAAAAGCTTTTGGAGCATTAAACTTAGAGTTTTACAAATGAGGAGGTTTGTCCTAAGTTTGGCATCTGTCGTCCTGCTTGTGTTTGTGTGTGCTTCACGGCATTTTGATTATTTGCATTTATATGTACATACTCTCCTATTACTGAGAGTAGCAATAGCAAACTCTTACTAAAATTGTAAGGTAATGAGATGCAAAGTGTGAGAAGACACCAAAATCAAACTCACATATATGCTTCTATGAAGAAATCATAGTGGGCAGGTATTTTCAGGTTTCTCTTGTGTGGTACATCATCCTTCTCCTCCCACAGAATATTTATAGGGCTGTGAACTACAGCCACAACTTTCCCATGTGTTTTTCTTTACAGTGATGCATCATCACTGTTTCACAACTTGTGTTTTTCAAAATAGTGAAATGCATGTTCAAGGAGTCCCAGAAATTCCTTTTCTTATTGAGGCTGCATTAGTATCATTTTAGGAATTACAGTTCGTTCATCGTAATGGTCTGAATCTCTGTTTCCTAGATCTGCTCAGTAAAAGAACGGCATGCCAGTGAAATACGTGACCTTCCAAACCGCTACGTGGAAATAGGTATGGTTGTATGAAAACACTCGTTTTCAAAATTATATAAGCTTTAAAGGTCTGTTTTCACATTCTAGCCTGAAAAAACTGTTACAGTTTGAAGGCAACACGTAGTTGTAACATAAATGTCACCTCATTTTTAGTTGATGAGGTTGTCATATGCCCTTTTGCATAGGTGTGAGGTTTGGGGTTTTTTTTATAGAGAGCCTTAAGTTCTGTGATCATCTAAAATCAGAGATACTTGTGTGAACAGTGGATGCCTTAACTTTCCCTTCATACAGATTCCTTCAGAGAACTTGGTTTTTCGTCTTGGTTAAATGATTGATGGTCGGTGTAGTAGTAAGGAGATTTGATTATGTGTTGTTTGACTACGCTTGTAACTTTTTTCTCTTTTTTCTTCTTCTTAAAATCTCTGGTATAGTTCTAAGAAATTAATTTAAATTTCTTTTTGTTTCCTTTTTTGGCTTCTGAATTCAATATTCTCCTTTGCTTTCTTATTTGTCTCTAGCTAATGTGATGTGAATAAATTTCATTATTGCTGATGAATGGAAAAGGTCTTGACAAAATATGTTTGTTAAGTAAAGTGTAAAGTGGAATTCAGAGAAAATTTGGAAGGGAAGTGGAGATGTAAATAAAAAATAACAACTGTCCTCAGAAGCATCTACTGGGGAAAGGAAGTATCTATGAACAGATAGTGCTGGGAAGATAAACAGGCCCTCTGGGACTCTGCAGATCAGAGTGAGCAACAGTTTGTAAACTTTGGTGCTCCCTTGACTGTAATAGCATGAGATTGTAGATAGTTGTGTTCAAGCAAGAATCTGACTGTGTCAGATTGGAATGGTGCATGGCATGAGTGTATACTCTGGTTTCTGATTTCAGGAAAGGACCATTTTAAAATAGCTTCTAAATCAACTAGGAAACTTGTTAATTTCTGTAAGGACTCTCGATACTGAGAGATGGTAGCATGCCAGACAGTTAACTGAGACCTGTTTAAGATTACATAGTCCAAAAAGATTATTTAATAGTAGAATTCTAGGATATTTGATAGAATTTTATCAAGAAAAAACTCAGTCATGAATCTCAGATCATATTTATAATGTTTTCTGTACCTGTGAGTAGGTTTTAGAAAATAACTAAATGGGATTGTTTTCTTAGTCACAAGTGAACAGAAGCAACTTCTACTCCAGCTTTAATGTGTTTACATGGAGAGTGCTAGTCTTACATTACTGTCTATTGGAACTTCATTTAAAAAAATATAAAAGGCTGTTGTTATCAGGCTATTTAGGTGTAGACATGAAGGATAGAGATTTTCATTAAACTAACTTTTTTATCTTAAAATTTTTAGTCTACAGTCTTCTCTGTATTCTCGAGGACTGGTGTTTTATATCACTTAACCTGTTAATGATGAGCTTGAGATTTTTCTTTCTGGTTTTAGGTCAAAACACTGAAGTGGTTCTGCCAAATGCTGTCAGGAGCACTTATTGGAACTTGGATATTAGATTGGGAGGGAAAAAAGAGAGACATTATTTGTTCAAGTCTCAGTATAAATTAAAATAGCCTTCGATATAGTCACATAGAAGGTCTTCTTGACAGCAGTATGTCATGACATAACATCTATTTCTATTTCATTTCAACTTTATTTTTCAAAGGCATAGCTAGAAGGTCTAGTATTATACCAGAGCAGCAACCAGTACAGTTTTTTTGCAAGACCACAAATATCCTAAGTGGATGCCTAAGTTAATACACTTTTGTAAAGAATTTACAGAAGGCAAGAATATCCTTCAGATATTTTGATTCATAACATCTTGTCAACATACTTAGGAAAAATGAAACCCTTAACACAGTATAACTTTTGTTGTGTTTAGCGGTGTGGGGTTTTTTCACAGTGGTATCATAGCTAACTGTGATGGCATTGGTAGATCATAAATGTTTCTTCAGAAGTTTGCAGCCCAGTGAATAAGGAAATAGAGTGTTTCCTGCATTGCAAGTTAGGTATGTAGGATCCTGTTTAACAAAGTACCCTCTGATCTTCCGTTTCTTTCTTAAGAAATAGCTATACTCATTCTAAGGATGCAAATAATTACGGTATCTACTGGGATGCCAAACCAGACAGCCCATAATGTGGGAAAGTTACACCACTGAACTATTCTACCTGCTTTATTTTAAAGAAAATAATGCTGTGATTATCTGTAAGAGAAAATAGATTACTTATATGGGTCTCATGCACTGAGATCTGTGTGGCATTGCTAATTTTATGTACATCTTTCAGTATATTAATGGTGCTTTTCTTCAGTAATCTTTTCCATTGTCTCTGCTACAGTTCATTACCTCTGTGTGTCTTCATTCACTGTCAAAGATAAACTCCGGTGAATGTTGCTATTTTAAATGTATGTTAGCTGAGCAGATCCTATCAGTTTAGCTCTGTCAGCTACCACTGTGAAGTAGTGTATTGATTAGAAAGTATTGGTATTGAATTACAGGCTTAATGTGGACTAAATGCTGTTGCGATCCTTCTTGAAGAGTGCTTGACCTCTGTGCTCACTCCTGAAGTGAGTACAAAAGCTGTAATGCTGCACAACTTCTGTCCAAACAGGGAACCCTTCCTCAACTGGAGCCTGTGAGAAGACTGGTTGCTAAATAGCTAATTAGCACTTTTCAGTTAATACAATGCAAAGGGAAATGGATTGTCTAGTCTTCCTTGCTTTGTCTGTATTTTGTATACTTCTATGGAGAAGTACTTTCTCTCTACCTCAGATTGTTAGTGATAGCAGAAAATAGAGGTGAACGCTGAAGTCTGTAAAAGACTTCAAGTTGACTAGAGACTTCCTATTCAGTTTATTTTTGCCCAAATTTTATCTGAGGAGTATCATCTTAATTCCAGGTAGCAACCAGGCAGCAATGTCTCTTGAGCACTTGTCTCCCATTGCATTCCGCCATAGTCCCCACAAGGCATATTTCTGGGGTAAAAATTACATGTTTTAAGGCCATGCTTGTAACAGCACATCTGTATGTTTTGTGAGGAATTGGCTGCATAACTGCATGGCAAGTTAGCATCAGGAAATTAACTTCATATGGTGATTTATGCAAATATTTCATCGAAGCAAGTCTACTATACTCTGAGAAACCAAAACAAAAAAAAAAAAGGAAAAACCGAACCTAGTTATATAGTTCATTCTACTTATACTGTTGTTCATCTCTTTTGCCACAAGCCAAGCCTATAATTTATAAATTTCTTCATAAAACGAGTCAAAATTCTTCAAGATTTTGACTTTGTTTTCTTCAAACCTAAGAACTTCTAAGCCCCAGAATTCTTCAAGTCTCAATATTTTCCCAGTTGGTTAACAAAGTTTTATCAGTTCAGTGGAAAAAAGAGCTTTTCAGAAAGTCAGCTTTGAAGCTTAAGTAATACTTATGTGAGGTCTTTTCTTGTTCTCTAGTTGGAACTGAAGTCACAAGCTGTTGAAAAAAAAACAAGAAAAGTTTTTATATTTTATATCAAATGCAACTCCACAATGTAATAGCTAATCAAAGCATCCCATTTTGTATTGTATTTTGTTTTGCATAAGTTACCTAGCTCACTAAAAGCACTGGTGGTGGAGATACCATCTTGAGAACACTTAAGGGTATACTGTACTGTGGTCTATAGCAAAGACTGCAGATTTTGCAGATGTATTACCTGAAGTAGCTGGTTAAAGGGTAATTTGGGAATGCACAGTGGCATCACCCCAGGAACTAACAATGCATCATAATTAATCATAATCTGGGCCAGTTGATGGTGTCTTGCGGTCTTACTGCTGTTCACATACAAGTGGTCTACCTAAAAATTAACTTGCATGTTGGCTTTTCCGTTTCTTTCATGCATTATATGGAATTAAAAAAAAAAAAGTTCTCCTTTTTCTCCATACATTAGTTTTCATGTTAATTCTCTGCATGCTGGTTCAGCTTCCTGCTTACTTTTCCAAAAGACAATGTTGAAACATTGTGTCCATTGAAATCAAAGGCAAAACCCTCTGACTGTAACCAGAATTGTACTTTATAAATCTGCTGTGGAAAAGCAGGAGCTGCTTTTTGAGGTTTGACTAAACAGACTCCTTTTAGTTTCAGTTCACTGCATGTGTGGGTCTTTAATTCCCAGGGGAAGTGGCTTTATAGAGTCTGGGTAAAAAATGTAGCACATACTGTTTTATTTCTGTTGTTTGGTATATTTCATTTATTTCATTTAATGAGCAACAAAAAAGATTTACAGGTTTCTTCTTTTTGCTTCCTGTTAATTTGTTTGACAGCTTACACAGATGCTGAACATGGAGTAGATCCACTGTCAGCATATCTTCCATCTTCTCTTATGACAGGCATAAACATATATGACACATGGCCATGTATCAGTCATTCCTGTTTACTTCAATACAACCTTTGTTTTAATTATTTTGGGTCCTTTTCAAATTACCAACATTTCTGCAGTGCCTTTCTGCTGGATTTTTTTCCCCCCATTGATCACAACACAATGTCCAGAGAGTAAGTAAAATTAAACTATCTGTGCAGCTATAACTTCTGTAATTTTTTTTTCAGTAAGACTTTTTTGATTAGTTGCATCAAAGGTTTTTATCAGGTCAAGAAGCACTGTCTATGCCAGTTATTTTTTGTTCAAGCAGCAGAGCTCTAGAGCATTGTGTTTCAACAAGGCCTCTTGAGAAGGATGAGCTGAAAGAAAGCTGAAAGTGAAACCAAGGAAACTAAACTCTATTTAAAAACAAAACTTGAAGTGGTGATTTTCATTTGTTTGTTTCTTTTTGTTTCACAGAACAAATTTGGAGAGTTTTCCTCTGCAAATACAAACTACAATATTTTATATGCCCTTGAGAGCCTTCTCTTAGCCTTTCTTTGAAGCTGAGGTTTCTGTAGTGATTCTTCAATAGTATTATGGATTTCACTTTGTTTTTTCTTTTCCATGTTTTTCCTCCTGCCTTCCATATTATTTTAAAATACCAAATACTAAATTTTAAACTGTGAATAAGATATGTAGTTGTTTCTGATGTGGTTTGTTTAAAATCATCGCTGAGAGCAACATGTGACACAGTGAAAGTGATCTCATCAGTCTTGCAGGCTAGAATGAAATAATTATGTACGTGATTACAAATGTGAACTTATTCTCTCCTAGAATGGGTTGAGTGCTCTGTCCTTGTGCTGTACTTTGGTCCCCCGCATGATGTTGAAGTGTCAGCAGTCATTAAAAGAAAAACAGTATTTGCTTATTCATTGAAAGACAGGTGTCAAAAATGTACTTTACTTGACTGTATTTTTTTCTCCTTTGCCAGGAGGATGATTATTTCTTCTGTTCCTTCTTATTATCTTCGCTCAAGAAAATAAGCTTTATTTTTAGTGTCATTACACTGCATTTTCTTTTTGCCTTGTTAAAATAATTAGTAACTTTAAATAAACAGTAGATATTAGTAATGTAGTGTGCTAAGCAGTGAGGAAGGAAACTTTTTTTTTCCTACTTCTGCTTAGATTCTCCTAAAGCTATGTTTTGGGAGAAAATGATGAGGCGTCTGATATTTTTGTAAAGGCATATAGTTACAAGGTTTTCAAATATAAGCACTTGGATGATTCCTGTTTTGGGCCCCATGAGAGAGAAGCCTGCAAAAAGGGGTGCACTGTAAATCCAGCAGAATAAAACTAAATAGCAGAGGTCTGTGGCAGGTGTCTCATTTACGGAGCCTTTTTGTAAATACAGTTCAACATTCCCTTTTTCTTTCTTGAAATAGTCATCACTTAACTGTTTCGATTTCAAGACCGCTTTTAGGAAATTATATATTTAGTTTTATGAACAAGAAAAGGTACTAAGGTACTATCAACTGTGTGTTTTCTTTGTAATGAGGATATCTGTAAATCTTCCTGTGATGCTTAAAGTGATGATAAATAAATAATGATCTTTGTGTTTTCATATATCATACCAATAGATGTAGCAGGTGCGATTCTCTTATAGCCACATGGACTTGCTATGAATATGCAAACCAATGAAGTTGTACTACTTATTGGCTATCTTATTGAGTTTGGTTTTGCTTTTGTTTCCTTTTTCTATGTAATTACTGAAAATCAGGCTGAACATTCATTTCAAATGTTTCATCTCTAGCATATCCCAGAGAACAAACATTTCTTCTTGCAAACTTTAATGTAATTTAATCTGTTAAATGTAATTTTTCATCTGATCCAACTGGGTTTGTTATATGTATTGAGTCTTTATTTCTCTGAAGTGTTGCTTCATGCTGTTGATTGTCCCTGAAAATCAGTTGTGTGTTTTTCTTAGGTAGTAATTCATATACATTCACTTTTTTAAGTCTGTTCTCTGTATTTCAGTTTTCCAATTCGACACCGAATTCTACATCAGTGGACTTGCACCTATCTGCGACCAGCTTGTTATACTTTCATATGTAAAAGAGATCTCAGACAAAACGGTAATCTTTTTTTAATCTCAGACTTTCTTCACAACATTAATTTGACTTGTGAGTTGGGCCTTAAACTAGTCACTCAGATATGATTATCTGAGAAAAAATTTGTAGCTGCTGGTAGTGAACAGTGCTTGAAACTTCTCTGACCTATAAAACAAGGTCAGTGGAGGTGATGTTGAAGACTAATGTACTTACCTTTCAGAAATCATGTTTGGGTTCCCTTATGTCTTACAGAAGGCAGAGAAGGTCTCTAGCTAGTCCTTCTTGCTCCTTTTTCCTTCTTTCCCCCCTACCCCCTTTTTCTTTCCTTTTCTCTCTTTCTTCTTGCTGTTTCTGCACCAGAAGAAATGAAGAATCTTGTTTAGGAGCTTGCTGACACTGCATCTCAGAAGAAATAAGAGTAGTGAAGTTGATCCACTTGAGCAATAAGTCATTGCAGGGTGGAATGCATGATTGTGAGCAAGTGGCATCGTCTCCCTTCCTTTTAAGATCTTTAGTTGTGTACACCCAGATCTGTGCGTAGATAGGTAGAAATTAGAATTCATGTCAGTCGTTTTTACTGTGCGCAGGCGAGTGCTGTGTCTGTCTCCGACATTTATTTCATATTGCCAAATAAAAGGCAAGACAGTGGAGGAAATCCTTGAAGTTGCGGTGAGAGAATGGCAGATGCTCTTGATCATCTCTTTGATAAGAATGTCTGCGTTAGACAACCATCACCATAGTAACCTTAAGCAACTGGGCACACAAGTTGCTAGGCAATGAAATGCTGTAGGTCCAAACAAATGCTCAAGCCTGCTGAAATCAATAGGGTTAGCTTCTAGCTCTGCTTCAGAATGTCAGATTATTATTTCTTTATTTATATTAAGGAGAAAAATAATGTCACAGCAGCGTTTCCCAAGAGAGTCGGCACAGTCGTCCTCCAGTGTGGGAGAGTCGGTGAAAGCAAAAAAATGGGATAAGGAAGGGGAAGGAAAAGGTGGGTTGAAATGCCAGGGAGCAAGGAAATTGGGAAGCCACTGTTAGTGAAAAAGTAGCACAGGAAAGGAGCTAGTATAAAAGAGGTAGTGACCAATAAGGGTTAAAGTCATTTTAATTGCTTCAGGAAAGAAAGATGAAAAGAGAATTTCAGGTGATATAATGGTAATAGAACATAGGAAAGAGGTTTTTTCATGTATTTGCTTTTAATTAGCCTTTTAAACAAACTCCAGTAGCTGAACTTTGCTAACTTCTCAGTTCTCTGGGTAGCTGTGGAAGGAACAGTTGTCCCTAACACCGTGTCTGTTGTGGTGGGAACTCCTTTGTTAGTGTCTTGGCTCTGTGGAGCCTGAGCTGCCTGAGCTTGCAGCAGAAGCACTGCTTACTACAAACACTCTTCCATTGTAAGAACAGTGGTCTTCCTACACTTGATTTCACAGCTTTCAAACAACAGCTTCCTACAAATTGGATCAGCATTGAACTCATGATTTGCTTTGAAAGTTTTTTTGTTTTGTTTATTTACTTTTGGGGTTTTTTTTCATGGAACAGTTAAATTGAGAAAAGACCAAAGTGGTGCTGCTGCTGAATGAGTAGGTTAGAGCTGTGTAAATCCACTTTCTATGTGTTCTTTCTATCTGTCCTTGCTCTTTCACTCTGTATTTTGTTATAATTCACAGCCTGAAGTAGAAAATATAGGGTAGTCTTGGACCTTGACTTAATTAAGCTTTTCAACTTGTATGATTTGCGGCTGAGTACCCAGTGCAAAGTAATGGATCTTTGTGAATGTTTGCAGCTGTTGAATTTCAGCCTTTTTTGTAGATGACCACCAGTTGGCATTGCTAAAGTAAATCATATCGGATGGAACTAAGATGTTGTCGTTTTTCTAGGCTGTTGAGTGTTGTGCAAGGCCTAGACTGGATATTGTACAACCCCTACCTGAGTCCTGTGAGGAGATTTCTTCTGATGCACTAACAGTACGAGGCTTTCAGGAAAATGAATGTCGAGATTATCATTTGGGTAGGTGTTCCCAATATTGTCTTGGTTTATTTTCATACCATGTTTAAAAAAGACTCGATTTGAGAGGACTTAACCTCATTGTTCATTTTTATGTGATCTCCTTTGAATAACTGTAACTGCTTATGACGCTGAAATGTAGAGTGGAAATCCAAAAGAACTGGTCACATGAAAATGTGTGTATTTAAATATCATGATTTTTAATACCATGTATTAAGTCAGACATACCGGGGAAGGCAGAAATGTATGTCTCGTGTAATGTCCAGTACCAGGGAAGGCAGTATCTTTGATGGAGACTTATTCAACATGCAATACATAAAAACTCTTTTTAGATAGAGGGCTTCAAGAATAGTGAAATGAGTGGCACAGTGTCTGAAAAAGCTTTTTTAGAGAGAAAGATTGAATAAATGTCATTTCAGTAGTAAGATGTACCTGAATTAGCTTAAAAGGGGCACGGTGCTATTTAGCTTCCTTGTACTGACGAAGCTGTCACTATGTAACAGACCCCAGAATGGTAAACCAGAGTGAATAGAGTCTGGATTTTGGCAAGTTCCACCTAGAAGATAGGTTTAATTATGTAACAGACAGGGAGATGAAGCCCTCTCACAACATATGCCATCTTTTAAAGATGGGATAGTTTTCTGGTCTATGTGTTGTAGCTCAGAAAAATGCATGGCAAAGCTGATGTGGAATTCTTTGATGAAGATTATGGAGCCTGTGTTATACAGAAACATTCCTCTGGCTTTTAAAATCCATGAATCTGAAATTTAAGCATCTTCTCTGGCATCATGCTTCAAATCATAGACTTGGCAGACCTCTTTGTGTACATCTATGCCCTTAAGCCACTAGAAATATCATATATCTCCTCCTGACCTGAAAAACATCTGTGCTGCTATCAATAGAGTTGAGATTTCTTTATACCTGTCTCAAAGCAGAACACTGATGTCCACAGTTGTACTTCTATGCTTTATGAATATTCTAGTTCATCTGACAAGTCTAAATGTTTTGAATGGCTTTAAGACGAGCATTATTTTGTGAGTTGCTTATCACTTCAGGAGTGTATTTGTATGTTTGTATAGATGCAGATGAAGGATGGGGGGTAGTTTTCTTTCCTGTGCCTACAGAATATTGGTGTTTCTTCATGGGTTCTATGGAAATAACAACTATTCAGAACAGTTATCTTCTGTGTTTGATTTTACCTTTTAATACTTTTTCTTTGAGCTTACTCAAAAATAAAGGCTTATAGTAAAAGAAAATGCATTATACATATAACCTTAACTTACAGCATTGCAAATGCATTGCTGTAATGATGTACTGTGTCCCCAGGGGTTATGGCATCTATCATTTATGCTTTTGATGGCCTTGACCTTGATGGGAAGGATAAGTTTATTGGAGGCTATGTAGTGTAATAGTCCTCTAAAAGTATGACAATGGGTTCTAAACCATCATAAAGTTTACACGTAGTGGATGAATCAGAATTTGCAGTAAGCTGTAGTGATTTTTTGAAAGATATTTTGCCATTTAAACCAGTTCTAATTTATTGCAGAATACAGCTTCCAAAACAAGCATGTTCTGCAGGAGTAGCCTTGCTGTCTTCCTTGCATCTCTTCTTTTTAAATTCTCCTCAAGGGAATACTAAAAAGCAGAGCTTTACTTAAGGAAAATATAATAATAATAAAACTGTATATGCATTTGCAGAGTATTCCGAAGGTGAATCACTGTTTTATATCATCAGCCCAAGAGATGTGGTTGTGGCTAAAGAGCGGGACCAAGATGACCACATTGACTGGCTTCTTGAAAAGAAGAAATATGAAGTAATTTTAACATAATTCTTTCCTTCCGACTTTCCTGGTTTGGAAATTGGAGTAGGATGATGGACTTTCTTAGGTCATTTGGACTGGATAGTTTCTGTTCCTACAGTCATTGACTAAATGCTTGTAAAGAGTGGGAGTTAACTGTACATGCCTCCATCTCTCTATAGAGTTAGTCTTCTTCTGAAACAGTTAGTCAGAATTGCAGCCAAGTGAGGTAGCTGAATTAGATGCTGCGAATACTGCTCTCATCATCAGATGTGAAATGTATTAGCTGTCACTGAAAATTATTAAAGCTGGGTTTTGGCGTTAAAGCAGCAGAACAGTTAACTAATGAGCTATGTGGATATTTTTCTAGGTCTATCCCAGCTAAGGAGGGGAGGGAAATGGTCTTGGTGGGCAATATGAGATTTTTCCTATTCCATAGTGCTTCCACTATAGAACAAAGTGGTTGTGTTAGGGTATTGAGTGTTGCTCCATGTTACTTACCTAGGCTGTTAAAGCTTTTAAAACTAAAATATTATGGGCTTGAACTGTAGGTATTCATGCTGAAAGTAGTGTTGCTCACAAACAAGCAGAGCAAATATTAAAAGACAAAGGTATACAGCTCCCTTGGAAAAAAAAAAAAAACAGCTTAGTATTTGGTTGTGTAAATATTGGTGCGCTTAAGTGTGTATATCTGAAGACCTAAAACAATAATAATAATAAATTCTTACATACCATATCAACATGCACTCAGTGTTCTGAATTCTAATGTCCTGCAGTTGTTTACTGAGAACACTTGTTACGGTGCTTAAAGTAACTTGCAAATTCTTATTTATGTGTTATTTGTTGGGTACCCATTATAACAAAAAAAAAAGGTAGGGAAACCATTCAGTACATATTCCTTTTGTTAATACAATCATGATATTTCTCATGCAGATTTGTTTAAATCCCTGTGGATGCTTTTGCATCTGAATAGCAAACTTGTATGATGAGTGCAGTTTTGCAATTTATGTAAATCACAGTATTTGGTCCCTGAAGACTCCAGTAATTTGCAAGTGACAGCTGTGTATGTGCCTTTATGAAAGCCATTCAAGGTAGTAGATAGTTGTGTGTTATGATGTATCTTAAAGGTTTCATTTTTATTTGGAAGAGTGCCAGCTTTGTTTCTGTACATTCAAAAGAAGTAGAAGAGCAGAAAATGACACTATTTAAGTCATAAATCATTCTGACTAGAGAAGATGTTTGGGCTGGAACTGGACGGTAGCCTTCTCTCACCCCCTTTCCTGTTGATTTTTTTCACAGGTTTTGGCAGTGAAGGGGTCTTATTTGAAAATGATCCAATGTGATTGCATTGTCTGTTTTGTTGCAATCTTGCAATTTGATCCTAATATAGTAATGTGGAATGACCCTAGATGGAAACAAAAGTAGTTTTCTCTTTGGTTGACTGCTTTTGTTTGAGTATGAATTCAAAGCTGTTCATCCAACTGTGGCATTAGAAATTCTAGTGCTTCAAACACCCTACTCTGAAAAACAGTTGATTTATACAGTTCTAGAGCTTTCTGTATTGAAAGTTTGTGTATTTGGCTAGTATCTCTGTTTACTCCCTTTTGAATATAGGAAGCTTTGATGGCAGCTGAGATCAGTCAGAAAACCATAAAAAAGCACAAGATTTTGGTAAGTCTCAAAACTTCTATTTAAAACAGAGTATCTGCCTTCTTTTAGAATGCTGTGAGATGCAACAAACAAATTCCCTGTTCTCTATGACACCAGGCAATAACTGTTAGGCATACTCCATTCGATTCCTAGGGTTTCAGCTACAGAACAGGAATGTTAGTCTGTGAAGCATGGAAAGATCTGGATTTTATAAAGGTGCTATTGACATTAAAAAGAAGAGAATTGCATTTCTGATGGGGTTTTTGTTTACATTTACTTTTGTATTAAATTACTGTTGTTTCAAGTAACAGACAGTATTGCACTAATAGAGATTGTGGGGGGAGTGACACATTTCTCTTAAACTTTTACCCAGTACATATGACAGGGTACATTTGTCAAGAGTTTGAGAGATGCAATTGGAAGATCTTTTAAATGCTATTGAAATTCAGTTGCAGTTTCATCTGTAGCTCTTTCATTCTGCTTTCCAATTCTCATTATTTTACATAGTTAATCTCCTTTTCTCATGTATAGTTATTTCCCATGTTTATAGTCCCTTTCACAGAGCAACAAAGGGTATCTATGTTTGAGACAAAAGGGAGGATAGTGTAATAGCCACAAAAGCATCACTAATTTTAGTTTTTGCTTGTTTGTTTTTGTTTAAATTGACCTCAGTGTGAACATATTGGTATTTTATTAGTACTGCTGCTGCTTTAAATTTAAATCTGTACAAAGTGTTAGAAGATGTGTTTAATTTTTAATTTTGGGCCAAATTACTGATATGCATGCCATATATCAGTGTGTCTTAAAAAAACTTTTATTCTTGTATAGGTCAGAAGTTGAATCAAGATGTAATGGCATGTCATCACCTATCACAGAGTTTGCACTCATCACAGTGCTCTGTGACCCTTGTGAAAGATATAAAGACTTGTTAAAGGGGGTCCTAGCAATACATTAGGAGGGGAAAGAAACCAAACCCAAAAAACCCCAAAACCCAAACCAAACCAAAAAACCCCACAGCTTTTCTTTTGGTGTGCAGAAGTTTGCTCTACAAAATACAATGAAATTCAGTGAAATACAAGCAGTTTTTGAGAGTTTGGTCTCTAATACAAAAGCCAACAGAATGTGTTGAGGGAATAAAATGTTGGCATTAAGCCCTAAGTGAAGGATTAGTGGTATACTGATTTAAAACAACTCATGCTCTCACTGCCAGGTGACACCGCATTCACACCACCTGAACCACCTGACAAGTCTGGTGGCCTTGGGGATTTTTTGGATTGCAGTAATTATCACTGCTCCTCTACACCTCTTGAGCAGAATGCAAAGGTCCTAAACAACCAGATCTACAGCTCCTTTACTATACATCTTCTCTGCTCACTGGGGAGCTGGTACATAGGAGAAAGAGGCTGGCAGAAATCTTCATTCTTGAGAATGGTGAAGTTGAAAATACAAAGGTTGTTCCTGTAGTGGAATGAAAAGTCTTTTCTGACTTTTTTAGTAGACTGACCAGTTGAAGTTGTTGCATACCTCTGTTCATACTCTGCTCCAGTCAGTACTGTCCTTGATATTGATCAAAAAAGTATTGTGCCTCAGAAGACCCAAATGTTTATTTTTGTAAGAAACAAGGACTTCTTTTTCATTGTTCAGCTTTGTTCTTTCTTTTTTCATTTTTCTCCTTTTTTTTTTCCTAGAAACAATGTGCTTTTACTGATATGATTCTTAAATTATGCAGTGAGTACACTGGGTTGTGTCAACATGGACATGAATGTTGAGATTACAGCAGAAGGCCCATGCCAAAATTTTAATATATGTTAGATTCCTACTAGAAAAATTTTACAACTGACATGTGTGATGAACCCTTGAGAAGAGAAATTTAGTATGTAATAATACCTAATAATCTTGCTAAGTTCTCAGTAATTCCTGCACTTTACTGAGCAGCACTAGAATTTATATTGTCAACCAACTTTTTGCCCCTCTCTGCAAACTTTGTTTTGACAAAGAGCATGCCTTATACAATGGCTGGTGGTTTTCTTTTTGAACTAACTAATGCAAGCACTGACAGATCAGCTATGTGTTTTGAACAATCCTTAGTAAGGAAAGGTGGCACAGTCTTCTCAGCATGAATGAGTTTATGAGAATTATTTAAAAGAGCACCTCAGTTTGAACCTGTGAAGGGCCTATGCAGGTATTATGTGTTGACTGTTCTGTGGGCCCTACTTATAAAGGAGAATCAGGGGATCCACTTAGAGCCCTGTGTTTGACTTTCCAGCCATATGCATTGCTGTTACAGTAGTTATTGTGGTTGTCAAATAGTTCACTCCCAAACTTTTATAACTAATTCTTTATTTTTATTCCCTTTAGGACATCGGCTTAGCCTATGTAAATCACCTAGTGGAGAAAGGAGAGTATGACCTGGCTGCTCGGTAACCTAGTATTAAAGATCTTCTTTGCTGGATAAAGTGTGTCTGCGTATGGGGAAAAAGCAAAAACAGTTATTGATTCTGAAGTATTTGGGGATGTTGATTTTCTGTTTGTTCTGGAGTTTCTGAAGTTTCAAAGCATACAGATGTATTTTTCTGTGCCCTGTATTTTCTTGCCTGTAGTGACCTAAAAGTTATTGTAAACTTTAACTGGAATTGAGACATACATATTTTTGAAAGTCAGCCTTGATTTTTCAGTCACACTAGGTTTTCAAAACTGAGGTTTTCTTTGGATTTTGATAAACTAAGTTTATTAGTGTGTTATTACGTGTAAGAAGACCATCAGAAAATAAGTTGGTTTTATGTGGGTATAAACGAAACTGTCAAATATGGGTATCTAACGTAAGGATCAGAAATTACCCAAGATTTATGTTTTCATGTATGTGTAAGCATAAGCTTTTCTTTCTAAATGCTCAATTTTTCTCAACTGAGATTTGAAAAAATCATTCATAAAGCTGATCGAGAGGGTGGCATTCCTGCCTATGGCGTGAGGGTTGGAACTAGATGATATTTGATCTCCCTTCCAACCCAAACTATTTGATGATTCTATGAGAGCTAATATGGCCCTAATCACTAAGGGTGAATGAATAATAAGCAGTTAGTCATCTTGGATGCAACAAAATTTTAAGATCTGAAAGGAGGAGAATCTGGCATACTCTGCTGAAAGCAATGGTTGCCAAAATAAGTCACTTGAGTAAATGCCATGATAAGAAGAAGAATAAAGGAATCCTTGCAGTAATGCTGTCACATTTGTATTATTCTCTGTACCTATTTTTGTTCTCTCTCCTTTCATCTTCCTTCCAGAAAGTGCCAGAAAATTCTTGGCAAAAACACAGAACTCTGGGAATTTGAAGTTTATAAATTTAAAGAAATAGGTCAGCTTAAGGTAAGTTAATTTCTGAGTCTGTACTCAAATAATTTGCGTGCTGTGCTTACTGCATGTTTTGACTAAGTATCTAAAGCATCACATTTAATGCCCTATTGTGGTATTTCTGCCCCAGATCTTTAGTTGTTTCTAGGCAGTTGTCTTTCAGACTGATGTGTATGTGTTAACATACTTTGAAACAGGATTGGAGGCATAGCATATCTATGTACTCAGCTACGTATTTTTACTTGTTGACAGTCTCCAAGTAGAAGACCCACCCCAAGGCCTTTACTTACAAAGATGCTCACAGTTAAATACATCTTTCCCATTTACTTTTCATTCCTTTCCAGTATGTCCTGAAAATCCTACCTCAACTCTTAAGAAAAATTGTCTCTATGGGTGCCAGTCATTCTGGAAAATCCAGTTCTCTTACAACAGATACACAACTATAAATGTCAAAGAATTGCAAAGCAACAGCAAAGACCTATGCTGCGTACTAGAAATGGTGGCAAGAAAGAGGAGCAGTCTGCCCTGTTGCGTGTTTTCCCTGGTCACAAGCCAGCTACTGTAACAGTACACATCTAATGTGAGAGTCTCAGTTAATAAATTGCCCAGGACATAGGGCTTTAGTACTGTCACTGCTAAACCAGTAGAAAACATTATGCACACTCCCTTTGATAGCACGTGTACATTTACTTCTGAATTTTATGTCTTCCTATTCAAACTCAATGAGCCAAAAAGGACATATTATTAAGATCTCACAGCACACAGTCCCTTGCTGGCTTTGAGCTATTTAATTCTGTTCAAAGACCAAAAGTGTTTCAGCATTATGAATTTCAGAAATGTCTGACTTCTGTTTTAGAGCCACTCCAGTGCAAGAACAGCCTTGCCTTCTCTATGATTTACTAGTGGTTTGGTGCATTCTTTGTCACCTTAGAAGACGAAATCCCATGTTTTTGTTTCTTTATTTCAGTCCAATAAAGGAGCCGAGTTCAGGTACAGGTGAAATTTTGATACAGTGCTTCTTTGTCCTTTTGGGGTTTTTTTAGATGCAAGTGTCTGGAAGGGATGTTTGTCTTGTCACTCCTTATGTCATCCAGCTGACTGCAAAATATAAAAATATTTGCAGATTTGCTGAAAAACATCTCTGCTCAGTTACTGACTTTCTAAACAGTTGTTTTCAACCTTTAGAATTTCTTCTTTTCCTTTTTAGGGCTTAGGCCCAAGAATTCTCAAACTTAGAAAAAGAAAAGATTACATTATTCAGCATCAAGTTGCAGTTCTAGAAAATACCTGTGTTATTGTACTATTTCAATCCCATATAACTTTTCCCAAAATCCTAAAGATATATGAGTATCATAAAGGATGAACTATGAACTAACTTAAGCCAGATCTAAATGAAGGGGTTCTTGTAACGCTTGGGATCACTTGTGTGTTTCTTGGCATTTTTAGCTATTTACCTAACCAGCAGGTCTTACACCCCATATTGTAGCTGGCCTATAATGGCTTTAAGCCCTGATGAGAAGACTATTGGAGATTTGGAGACAGATTTTATTTCAAAATGGAATTTTCTTAAAAGAATTTGCACTGCATATTAATATATGCAGTTGCCTGAAATATGGCATTTCCAATCTACCGTGATTTGCCAGTAGCTAAGGTGATAGTAAAACTAAAGGTTTAAACTTTCCTTCCTGCAGAGGGATTAGTGATACCCCACTGTCAAAGCCTGTGGGGTGTCTTGTTTGTTTGCATGTGGCTTTAGGGCATTTTTGAGTGTTCTGTACTAAACGGTCCCGTTTGGCTGCTAAAGGTTGCATTTTGGTATCTTGACACCTCTCATGTCTTCAGTGAATATCCTCTAGCAAACCTTGTTATGGCAGTTTCAAGATTTTAGAGCCTTGCAATGATCTGTTCCTCTCCTCCATCTGTGGTAGCTTGAGGGAGTTACGTGCTTGTGCTCAAGTCACTTCAGTGTAAAATACAATGTCTCAGCTCAAACAGCTGAGGAAGGTGAATGGATTCAAAGATGCCAAACTCTGTGACTGTTGGCTGTTGTGGCATGAGGGATATGCTCCATTCTGTTGGTACTGCGACAGCAGTGACTTTCAGCAGAGGTTCAGGATGATCAGCTAGCAACAGCAGTGCTTTCACGACCAAAACATTGGCTAGAGGGCACTTGAAAGACTTCACCTGACTCTAGTGGGCATAGCAGAGAGCAGCACTATCCAGACAGTCCCTTTCATCTCATAGATATCCTTTGAGGAATCAATAATTGTGGTTTGGGTTTATTGGTGAGCTGGTTTAGGTTATTTCATGTCCACTTTTACATGGGCTTTCTTGTATAACTCATCCTTATACCTATGGAAGTAAAGTCTGTAAGCAGCTCCTAAGAAGAAACAAAGGAAGAAAATATTTCTGTGTATAATATCCCTTTTTTATTTAAAGTGACTTTCAGCACATGGTTCAAGAATTGGTACAAGGGCATTCTGATTGCACAGCTTTTTGTCTGATCTTGCTCCTTAACTGCAGCTTAAAAAAAAAAATGGAAGAATTTGTAACCTCCAGCTTGGGTTCACCTTTGTGCCAAGGCTTAAAAATACCTTGTATGCTTTTCTTAGTCTTTGCTGAGCCTGGTGGCCAAACTGCAGTAGGTGGCTGTGGTTTTTCTTCAAAGCACTGGGACTTGGGACAGGAGAGATTTCCTTCCTGAGGCAGCCTGGCCCCCACACAGCAAGGCAACTGCACCTCTCCACAGCTCCACAGCCAAGTGTTGCAAGTCTGTTGGGGGAGGTTGTTCATTTAGGAGGTGACAGGAAGGTAGAAAGTAGGAATGAAGACAGCCATTGGGAGATTTTACTCTGCCTTTGAGTCTCCAGCTGATGTCCAACTTGCTTTCTTTATGGTCAGAAGAGACTTTTTCTGAGGCAGTCAGGAATATGATTCCCCAGGGCAGCTGGCAAGACTGTGCTGTGAGTTAACTGTTTAATTCTGTGACAGATGGTGGGAGCTAATATTGGCAGCACTACATTTCAAAGACTGGCCAAGCTCAAACAGCACATGGAGAGAAGAGGTCTCCTGCAAGCAATGAACTGTTAATTTCTACAAAGTCATTTTTTATTGATCTTTTACTTGTACTTGCTTTCTCACTTACAAATGGAAGGCTTTAGTGAAATATGTAACTTAGGATATTGTTTTGATTTAAATACTAGGAGAATTTGTTGTGAATAGTCACTGCTGTCTGTAAAACTGAAAAAAAACTGTAGTGAAATGTTATTTCTCCTGTTTTGTTCAAGCAACTTCAGTAACAAAATGTTACTGTGGTATGTGCCAATAGTGGGCAACAGGCAACATCTCTGAGTATTTGGAGTAATTTCATCAGTGTTATCCTTTAGCTACAAACCCCAAAGTCCCCACACTGCTGGTAGCAGTAGGATTTATTTTGGAATGTGGTAATAATCTTGGCCTCTATTTGCATGGACTAATAGTGCTAATAAGATGATGTGCTGAAATTCCAGGGTATGAACTGATTTATTCTGGCAGGTTCTCATCTCCTGCCTGCCAGAATGCAACTCCTTATCACCTCCTATAGAGTAACAGATCACATACCTTCACCCTTTTCATGGAGAGATATATTCTTAAATTAATTTTCATTTGGGTATGTAAAAATAGCTGGCAAAACATAACTCTTCATAAAATGTAGTGATCCCACAGTAGGTCATAAATCAGAAGTACGCATTTTTCAGCTAATGAATCCTTATACCTTTTTACAAGGCCAAGACTTGACAAAATGGATTTTGAAAACATTCTTCTTCTGAGGTCTTTTATGGGTTTTATTTTCTAACTGACTAGTGGTAAATATTCAGACTTCTCTAAGGGCAATGGCTGATTCTCCTGTCATAACTAGTATCTTGCCACCTGTCTTTCAAATGAAAATTCTTTCAAATGTGTGTAATCTCACACATTCAAATGTGTGTAATTACACACAATCCAATGTGTGTAATCCTAAAGTAAAATACGATATATAGGCTTCCAGTGAATACCAAGGGCTATGTTTTGTGCATAACTTTGTTATTTTTGTTTAACAACAATTCTTTTTGTTCTGTTATCAGTGTACTGAGATGTTACATGTCATTCCCTTTCTGACACTTTCTTTTCTTTGTTCCTATAGGCAATTAGTCCTTACTTGCCAAGACGGGATCCAGTTTTGAAACCTCTGATCTATGAAATGGTCCTGCATGAGTTTTTGGAGAGTGACTATGAGGTACTGCAGCCTGATGTGTCTACGTTTAACAGTTACTCCTAGCCAAACACCCTCAGCAATGTAGAATCTGACGGCAAATTCTCTGTTGTATTGAAACAGATTATCAATGGACAGTTCCATAATAATGAAAATATTAAAAAGTCGAATTTTGATTTTGTTTTTAAGACAATAAATAGAATGTTCTTCAGAGCATGCATCTATTATTTATTATAGATATTATTTTTAACGTAAGTGACTGAGGTGATGCACAAAGCCTACAGCACCTGAAAGAAACTCAGCTTCATGAATCTTAATAACATTGCTCTAAGAAGGAAAAATCTGTGTTCTGCATTGTGCACGTCTGTGAACACGTAAAATTTGCTTAAAGGTGAAGCACAGCAGGTATCATCTCAGAGGCTTAGCTGAAACTTTGATGTTTTGAAATGTTCCTTAGGCCATTCTTTCTATTTCTGTTACAATCTCTTATACTTTTAGGGGTTTGCAACCCTTATAAAAGAGTGGCCTGGAGATCTGTACAACAACACAATCATAGTTCAAGCTGTAGTGGATCACCTGAAGAAAGATCCACAGAACAGGACTTTGCTACGAACACTTGCAGAATTGTGAGTACAATTTAAATTCCTGTTACAAAAAGTACACTTAAAAGAGTGTACTGTAGTTTATCAATATTTGCTTAACTCTCTTAACAGAAATCTTCTTTGCTGCAGTCTACAGTGTTGGCTTCTCTCCACTCTGCTGATTTTGCACAGCTTAGCAATTCTTTACCCTTTCTTATGAAGTTCACATTGTGTATGAAGGCAAATTGTTAAGCATGAGATTGGATTTCCTTACTCCTTTTTCCAAAGTAAATAGCTAGCATTCCTCTTTATGCTGTCAGAGGGAAACCTCTTTTGTGAAGTGTGCATTTCAGAATTACCTACAGGAAAATAAAAGGGTGGAGTTATTGCCCACTATTTAAAAAGTAGTTACTGCATGGCTGGAAATATGTGACTGGAAAATGTGCCAAAAGTGATCTGGTTCTAGGCCACTTTTTACAGGGTAAAGCTCTTTGATTTTCTCAGCCTAATCACCATGTTAAGTTCTTTTTGTACTGCGTCTTTGAAGAAAGCTGAACTACTCCCTATTACTATGTTAGTAAAGTATTTAGAGAACAGTGGGTTTTAGCTCTGAAGAGATTTCCAATTGGTATCCAAAAATTGAAAACTTAGACTTTTTGTGGCTTCTCCTGTGATTTGAAAACGGAAAATGAAAATGCGGAAAACCACAGGTCAGAACACAAATGCAGTGGCCAATATAAATGGAGGTGAAATTAATGTTGCCTGGTGTTTATTTCCCTCTAATAAAAATGAGTTACAGGGACTCTATCCTAGCAAGATTTACATACTAGAGTATGTTTATATTTTCCCTCATAGGTGATTTTCCTACACTTAGGTATGTGAAATTATTGGTATTATAACCCTGGTTTTATCAGGGTTATATTATATTATTTATTAGTGGTATTATAACCCTGGTTTTATCAGGTATACTTACGACCAGCGCTATGGCAGAGCCCTAGAAATCTACCTGACTCTGAGGCACAAAGACGTCTTCCAGTTGATCCACAAGCACAATCTCTTCAGTTCTATCAGAGACAAAATTGTTCTCCTCATGGATTTTGATTCAGAGGTATGGTGATCTTAATGATTTTATATTCACTTTCCACTGGAGATATTTTAACAGATTAAAAATTAATGAGTTGAAGGTAGTGTTGAGGCAGAGAGTGTGTTTGGTATGTCTGGATACATTCTGAGGTAAGGAAGATTATGTTTGCCTAGACTACAGAATAATTGACCCAAGGATTATTTTTTCTTTTGTATTTCCATTTGTATTTCCTTTCCGTTTCCATTTGTCACTCACAGTGAGAAGAATGCCAGATCCAAGGTCATTGTTGTGATTCTCAAGTCCCAACGTTGAATATCATTTCACGTAGAGTGTCATTTCACCATGATATTCTTTCTGTATTTCTAACCAAATAATGCTTTTGATAAGCCAAGAAAATAGACAGGAAATACTGAATGTACTTCCCACTTTTCTTTCACTACAGTCAATTAATCTGCTTTTGAAAGTTTGCAAGGTTGTTAACCTAAATTCCAAAAATCAGGAAGTGTTTATTTTGTGCTGAATTCTATCTTCTTTCTTTCCAACTGGCTATAAAATCTGAGCAAATGAGTTTTGGTATGATCCCTGGGGAAGATAACCAAGTAGATCTGCTCTTTTTTAAGTGTAGTAGTTGTTTAAGCACTGTAGCTAAAATACAGAGCCATCTGTACCATTATCATTAGCGTGCTCATTCTAAATTGTATGAGGGGAAAAAAACTATAACTCTTTTCAATTAAATAGAATAAATCATATCAGGAGTCTGTAGGTTTGTATTTTTTGAATGTGAAGCAAAAGTTTACTCTTGTAAGAGGAAGCAGAACCAGAATCCTGATGGCCACTTGGCTTATGTGGTCTTGTTTGCTTATGTTACAGTATTGGGGTTCAGGTAGTTTAGAGGAATCCAGTTGTAAGGCAGGTTGAGTTGTGTGTTTCTTCTATAGCTATCATCTTGCAGTTCACTTTTGCAGTGGGACAAAGAGTATTTCAACATCATTTGGCAGTGGCTTTCTGTGACCAGTGACTCGATCAGCATACATCACCTGTAATATAAGTGCACATCATTGATTGCTATTAGTGAGGAAACTTAGGAGAAGTATTCTGAAAGAATACATGATGTGTTCTCCTGTAATGCTGTACTGAGAAGGAATGCTGATGATATGCAAACTGCTCTCTGAATTACTGTTGCTGGAAAGAGTAGGTCTGCAATATCCATCTGACACTTGTGGATTTTGATTCAGAGGGATGGTGATCTTAATGATTTTATATTTGCTTACCACTGAAGATATTTTAACAGATTAAAAATAAATGAGCTAAGAGGAGTCAGAAGCCCTTGGAGGCCAACTTGGTGAGCAGAAAGCAGTGCCGAGAGCAATTGGGGCAAATTTAGCAATTGGCTCAGGGAGCGTGAGCAGGTAAACGGGGGGGGTGACATGGCAAGTCGCACAGGCAGGATGAGCAGGAAGGGCTCCTCTCTGACCATCCAGGGCAGCCAATATAGGCAGAAAACAGACTCAGTAGATGGTAAGGAAGAGCAAAGAGATCCTTTTAGCGCCAATCTTATTAGTGTATTAGTTTAAGCTTCCTCAGTTATGGTGTTGATGCACTGTAAAGCTCAGTCCCTTGTAGCTGATGGAGTCACTGTACCAACCGTGTCAGAGGCCTCCAGCCAGCCAGACCTGCCAATGGTAGATGCAGCTCTCTGTTGCAGTTCGAGGGGTTTCTGGGGGGTCACTGCCGGCCGCTCTGCGAAGGCTTTCAGGGCTGGAATCACCCCCCCGCCACCCGTGGCAGGGACAGGCGGCAGAGGCACTCAATCCAAGGGACAAAGACCACGCAGCACGCAGAGAATCCAGCAGCGAAGAAGACCCTTTATTCAAATTTCCCACAGCTTATAAGGGCTGCTGGGCCAAAGAGGGGATTGGCCAATGCAAGGAGACAATATAATAACTATGGCAACACAGAAACCAATGGTAGACAAGTGAGTTAACAACTTCCAAACCCCGGCAGCTCTCCAAGTCACAGGTTGCCATGAGAGCTGGGATCCTGGTTGATGGCCAGTTGAATACAAGTCAGCAGTGCCCAGACAGCCAGGAGGGCCAACTCTGTCCTGGGAGGCATCAGGCAAAGCATCGCCAGCTGGTCAAGGAAGGGGATTGTCCTGCTCTGCTCTGCACTGGGGCAACTTCACCTTGAATATTGCGTGCAGTTTTGGGCACTGCAATAGAGGAAAGATATTAACCTATTAGAGAGTGTCCAGAGGAGGGCAGTGAAGATGATGAAGGGCCTTGAGGGGAAGCCATATGAGGAGTAGCTGACGGCACTTGGTCTGTTCAACCTGGGGAAGAAGAGAGTGAGGGGAGACCTCATTGCAGTCTACAACTTCCTCATGAGGAGAAGAAGAGGGGCAGACACTGATCCATGTGGTGAATGGCGTGAAGTTGTGTTAAGGGAGGTTTAGGTTGGATATTAGAAAAAGGTTCTTCACCCAGAGGGTGACTGGGTGCTGGAACAGGCTCCCCAGGGCAGTGGTCACAGCACTAAACCTGACAGAGTTCGTGGCACATGGTGTGACTCTTGGTGATGGTCCTATGCAGGGTCAGGAGTTGGACTCGATGATCCTTATGAATCCCCTCCGACTCAGCTGATTCTGTGATCAGTGAATAAGCATAATACTGTATAGAATGTGAGAAAATGTGTGTACCTGTTTCTTAACTGAATTCTCTTTTTTTATTGTAGAAAGCGGTAGACATGCTTTTGGATAACGAAGATAAAATTTCCGTGAGTATAACAAGTTCATGGCATGGCAGTCCAATGCTACCTTGGATTGCCTATCCTTCTTTCAGTCCTGTAAGTGTGCTGTTTATCACAGGTTTGTTTTCTTTCAGATTGACAGAGTTGTTGAAGAATTAGAGAACAGACCTGAGTTACAGCACGTGGTAAGTATTTCTGTATTCTGTTATTTGAAGTTGAGCTGAATAAACTCTTTGCTGGACATATCTTTTACAGGTGTGTTTATCTTGTCAGAGTGCACCTGACACTGAAATGTCATAAATCATCAGTCAAAGTGGCTACTTCTGCAGATTCACTCTATAACATGGCCATAACATCTTTACAATAGTAAAATGCCTTTAAAATGTGTACTTGTGAGAATTTGATAACATACTGCTTGCTTGTTAATATACCATGAAGTCTTTCTTACCGCATTGCAGGCACTTGTATTCTATCAGAGAATCATAGAATCATAGAGTCGATTGGGTTGGAAAAGACCTCCGAGATCATCGAGTCCAACCCTTGGTCCAAATCCAGTCCATTTACTAGATCATGGCACTCAGTGCCACGTCCAATCTGCGTTTAAAAATCTCCAGGGATGGTGAATCCACCACCTCTCTGGGCAGCCCATTCCAATGCCTGATCACTCTATGCTCAGTTACTTCTTGCTTGTATTCCTCCTTTTTCTCTGCACAAAAATGGAGTTGGTTGGTGGGTGCAGCTCTGAAATATGTTTTGTGATCTACAGAGACAGCAAACCACTTGTCTTTTTAGAATTGTAACTTCCATAAGCTGCAAGATTGTTCTTGTTTCTACAGAATTACAATATCACTATAAGACTGTGGCTCCACATTGCTATTCCAGAAGCGCCTCCTTGCTTTGAACATGTTGTCAGTGGAATACATAACGTGTAACCATGGGCTTGGGCTCTATTAGGGAGGGAAATTTAACTTGCTGCTGTGTACAGATAGGCTTCAGGGTATCGATTTGGTGGAAAGCTGATTTATGTGGTAGGGAGGTGATTATGGGAAGCAGATCTATGAAGTGTGCAGCCCACTGCCCAGGAGCTTTACAAAGGCAACTGACTGTCTGTCAGTTACGGAAGGGATGTGTTGGTTTGAAAGTGTGAAGCCTACTTCCATTGGAATAAAAGTGACCCTCATAATTATTTTCAGGGGGGTTCTGTGCTCATAGAGAGAGGAAGGAGCTTTGTCACAGTATCTAGACTTCAAGATGCTTTGGTTAAAATATTTCATGTGGTAAAAGTGTCTTTGCCAGTAGAGTGGTTGGGCACTGGAACAGGCTCCCCAGGGAAGTGGTCACAGCACCAAGCTGACAGAGTTCAGGGCACATTTGAACAATGCTCTCAGGCACATGGTGTGACTCTTGGGGCTGTCACGTGCAGGGCCAGGAGGTGGACTTCCATGATCTCCTTCCAACTTAGGAAATTCTATGATTCTATTAATAATATTATAGAAGTGGGTTTGAGTTCTGATTCTTTTCTGATTCCTAGTATTTGCACAAGCTTTTCAAAAGAGATCACCATAAAGGTCAACGATATCATGAGAAACAGATCAGCCTTTATGCTGAATACGATCGACCAAACTTACTACCATTTCTCAGAGACAGCACACACTGTCCACTGGAGAAGGTAAGCCCCCAGAATCTAAACACAGGTCCTCGATTTTTATGTCTGGTCTGTAGCTTCTAGTGTTGTGAATTTCTAACTGTGTCTGACACTGCCCTCTACTGCCAAAATCATCATTTGGGTTTGTGACAATCACCTGCAGAAGTTTGGTTTGCATAGCTGATGACAGCTGAGACTTTCCTCTCTCAGCTCTCAGTGCAGGAATTAGTGGGTATTTTTAATGAACAAGTTCTGAATTCAAATTTAATGCATACCTGCAGCATATCTACTCATCAGTGCCTGGCCTGACTGAACAGCAGGTTGTAGTTGTAAGAAATCAAGTCATTTTGCCAAATCTAGGAGCTGTCAGCATTAGATCTTGAAAAATCGGTAGCTGTAACTGGAGTTTTTCTACCTTTATATTCTAAGGTCATAAGTTTCTTTTGAATAATATACACAATGTAACAGTCACTGAACTAACAGAGCTAAAAGTATTTTGTCTTTGTACTTTGGCCAATAGACTTGGGCTTTTTCAGAGTGCCAGGTTTCCACTTTCTTATTTTTTCATACTTTTTTTGTATTTTCCTTCCATGCTCTTTTTTGACAAATTAAAAAATACATAGAGGTAAGGCTAGTCTCGAGGTTTTTTACCCTGCTTGAATTAAAGTGAAAAGAATGGAAATTCTATGTTTTCCTCTTTAGGTGGGTCAGTATTTTGTTATATCTATTTGTTGCTGTTAATAAATGGTTGAGCAAACCTGATCTTGTGATAGGATGCCTATCTGTATGCAACTATAATGATGACACCAGTGGAGTAGTTTTTAAGTGTAATATTGTATATTGCATTTTACATGGTTAACATTCCAAAGAGAACTGTACTATTCCTGACACCTCTCTTGTTTCGAATGCTTCTGTCAACTTACTGTGCAACTGCAGGAAACAATGGAACATACTTTCTTGGGATTGTAGACTTAGTCTTTGTTGAAACTTTCTTTATCTGAAATGAGATTGACCCAATGGTCTTTTTTTAGGCAGTGAGCCTACAAGGTTTCAAGCCAGAGACTTTTGTCTGCATTAGTGACTTACTTGTTTTTAACTTTTTGATTCTCTTAGTTTTTGCCTTATGTATTATTTGTGTGACCATGGTTTTATATATAAAACCTTACCTGCATTTTTTTCTTTTGATGCAAATTAGTTTTAGTTCCTGCAGATTCAGCCTCCCATCTTCAGTGATGCATGGTGCAAAAAAGTGCTATGTGAAACTGATGCAAGCTCATTGCTGGCACTGCTTTGCTGAAGTTGTGGGCTGCTAAGCAAGAATAGGTCAAAGACCCAGGAACTTCTGGAAGGTGTGGTGCAGTAATCACCAGAGAAAAGGATGTTAGAAAAAAAAGTGGAATTCTAACCTTAATGTTAAAATATTAATATGTAAGAACCTAAGGAAGAGAGAAAAGATACCAACACTATGTAAAACTTAGTTGAATTTACTGAAATACTAATTCAATAATTATACTGCTTACCACACTTGCATATAGTAATGCTTTTTGCCACGTACAAGTCTTTGTTCTAAGGAAATAAAAATGGGACTAAGAATTTCCCAGTTACCAATATTTTCAGTTCCTGTTAAGCAGGTTCCATTGCAGCGTATAAATTGCTAAAAGCAATTTCTATTTGAAAAAATCACTCTTAGTATTGCTCTAAGGAAGTTATAAACCCAGCAGGAAGAAGTAATTGTTGTTCTTTAGAAGTAAGCCACTTTTATTCAAGTGCAGATTAGCAAATAAAATGAGCTGAAAGAGGAGTGTTCCCTGTTTTCCTCTAGAGGGAGCATGACAGTCAGGAAATGTGCAGCATCTAGAACTACTGAATACCTTGTGCTTTGTAGTTTTAACTTATAAGTGGAGAGGAAAAAAAAGCTGTCAGCTGTGTTTATAACTTATTAGTATTATTCATACCTTCATTCACCTGAAGTATCTCGTTGGTAGTTCACTTACCCCTACCCCAAAATTCATTGTCCATATGTGTAATCTTCATAGTAACCCATGTGAAATAATGAGAATGGAGGAAAAGTTAATTCCTACCCCCATCTTTAGTTGTAGCTGTATTCTATGCATTTATAGTTTTGATTTCCAAGTGTAAAAGTCTTTATTGGTGAACAGTTATCTTCACAGGAATGCTTTGAATCTTGAGTTTGCTTTCTGTTTCCAATTCTGTTTCCAGTTTGGAAAAGGCATGGCAGCATTTATGGCATACCAGCCCTGCCAAATTCCTGTTACTAAAAACTTTCTGGTAATCAGTTTGGTAGTTTTGATAATTGTGCTGGTTTTTACCAGTCCTGTCCCCACATTTACCCAGTCTCGGAGAAGAATTTTAAAAAGTGTCATGGAGTTTCTCTTCTTAATTAATGCGTGACAGTGCTTATTAAGGGAGCTGTGTTTCTGTCAAAATGAGTAATGTAACTTGGTGGAAAAATATCTTTAAGCCTCTTGCAGCATTTGAGATCAATAAAATTTCATGTTACATGGTTTCCTGTGTTCTCTTCCTTTCTCTCTTCCCTTAAATTCAAGGCTCTTGAGATCTGCCAACAAAGGAACTTTGTAGAAGAGACAGTCTATCTTCTGAGTAAGTAGTGCTCAGTGTGATAAATGACAACACACTTTTAATGTTGTAATAAAGTTTATGCTGTGAAAATATATTGGGTAATATTGTTTAACATGTTCTCCCTGAGACAAAGTTGATATGCAGTCAGTACATCCAAATAACATTATTTAGAAAATAAAACAAAGCACTGGGTGATTAATATGATGTCTTAACTGCATGTATTGTGTTACTGTGTTTCTGACTTGGTGTTTTTCTGGGGTTTTGGAAGAATTGGGTAGGCTATGGGGAACAGGTTGGGAGGGGAGGTATTTTTGATACAATCTCCAGGAGAAGAGTAATACTGTGAGTTTTGAAGAGAGAGGAGAAATAAAACAAAGCTTTTATTCTGAGTACATCTCAGAAGCTTAATATTATCTATTGCTGAGATGGAAGATTTGCTTATGTTGCCTTCTATCTTCTTTTTTTTTTTTTTTTCCATAAAATTAATTGTAAATTAACTCCTCCAGCTGGCCAAGGATTCTACCTCTGAATGAGAGGCATTGTAAGACTAAGATTTCTATGTATCTTTATGTAGTAGTCATGAACAGAATAGAAACCATTTTTTTAAACAATCTCTGGTTTAGTAAGAAGAATATTTTGTGGACCATTTGGGAGAAGAGTAGGATTTACTCATGAATTTATTTAAAGAATAGTTCGTCATTTCTACTACTTCTTCCTGTTTCCTCCTCTTATTTTTCATGGGTATAAACTGCGCTATACTTACCGTAAATTAAAAGTGCCCATGTGGGCTCTTAAAGGGTGTATTTCATGTCATAGTTTACATGTATGCACATATACACACTCTCCCTCATGTTAGATGTTGCTGCAGTTCAGAACCTGTAATATGATCCAAAACATCCTTGAGAAAGCCTCCAGGTCCCAGTCCAGCAAAGTACTCCAAGCACTTGTTCAGATTATACTGATTACCCTGGGATTTGCCTTCCTACATCTGATTAGATTAGGTTTGATCTTAGTTAAATTAGTTTGAGTCAACTTCACACTTATAAAATTTACAATTGAAAGAGCTTCTTAAAGCACTGAGCATTGATAAGCACTTAGTGTTTATAATCTCTTTACTTATTTTTCCTTCTAGGCAGAATGGGTAATAGCCGCAGTGCCTTGAAGATGATAATGGAAGAACTGCAAGATGTAGATAAAGCTATTGAATTTGCCAAGGAACAAGATGATGGAGAACTTTGGGAAGACCTCATTTTATATTCTATTGACAAACCACGTAAGTGGGGAAGCCTTGCATATGTATTTTTTTGTGGAATTCTGTTTCAATTAAAGGATTGAATTACTCATGTGTATGTTAGAGAAGATGTTTATGTATGGCCAGGGAGGTGTTCTGGTTTGTGAAGCACAACACAGATGTCTACTGTGCATAAAAACTTGCAGTAAGGCAGCATAAGAACCAGTACTTAGAGGTTTAGTGTTTGACTAAGCTCTCCATAGTTGTGTCCTTAATGACAGTCAAGGGGAGAGCAGTGCTTTTAATTAAGCAGAATGAGACTTTACTTTTAGACAGCCTCAAAACACAGTCTGCAGCTTAATGAGGATGTTGTGTAGTGTGTTTATTGCAACTGCTTCCCTTTCAAATTCTGAAAATGAAGAACCTACACCTTTCTACCCCTCAGTAAAATAACTAATTTATTTTGTTTCTATGTTACAAAGGTAAGATCTGTAATAATGAGTGCATTTTGCCTTTCATCCATTATATGAGTAACTACTCCAAGTTAAAAGTTTAGATGGAATCAAAACATAAGCAACATCAGTGTTGCTCGGGAGGCAGACTCAGAGAAGTTCAAAAGACTGAGAAAATAATTTTTTTAATTATGTACTCCATTAGTTTTTGCAACCTCTTCTGAGGCTCTAAATCAAGACTTTAAAGTCTCTCTTGGGATCTCTTTTCTGGGGGACTGAAAGTCTTGTAGAATTAGTGTCAGAATATGTACATTTTCATCCCTTGGCTGCTATTCCTGACAGGAAGAAGTGACCAGAATCTGTTATTCCTTTAGAAGAATGGCATTCTCAAATTACCCATATTTAAACGCAGTCCGTCTCTAAAAGTGATGCTACAGTCAGTGACATTTTTAGAGCAAAAGGGATTCAAAGCATATAGAATTCTTGCAGTTCCATCTGCCTATGTGCAGAGCAACTGCAGTGATATTCCTCAGTTTGGGGGGGTTGAAGAAAAAACACAGCCTTGAGGTTCATCCTTTAGTGTTTTGTTTAGCCAGATGCTCTTCAAAAAGCAAAAGACTTCTATTGTGTCACTCTCACCAATGTTAAGAAACATGTTGAAATTAGATTAGTTGCTTGAAAAATTGTTTTTAAACTGTGGAACTAGGAATAGAATAGTCACATAATGTAGATAATTTTCTCACTCTGTTTGCTCAAGTGCCCTCATTATTAAATCAAAATGCATTATTTACTTGTGGATTTGTGCTGGAGACCCAGTTACCCCTTTTCTGAATACACTGAAAGTTCTGTGAATTGCCAAACCGTATCTTCCTCTCTTCCCCAAAGGCTTGTATTCAGGTAAATACAGCCGCAAGAAACATAGCAAGACTAAAAGAGTCTTAGATAAGTCTTATCGCTTAGTAGAAAATTGTTATGGAATCAGCCAAAACATGTAGCTTGTCACCAAAGCATCCTTTGATCAGGTATTTTGCTGGATGGGTTTTCTTAATTTCTTTGTCTCTTGGTTTTCACAGCTTTTATTACTGGTTTGTTGAACAATATTGGAACCCATGTTGATCCTATTCTTTTGATTCACCGCATTAAGGAAGGCATGGAGATTCCTAATTTGAGAGATTCACTAGTGAAAATTCTTCAGGACTACAACTTGCAGGTAAATGTTTTATTCTTCATGTGATACTCATTTTAAGAAAGACAGCAAAACCTCTTTTTCACTGTGAAATTACTATCATAATTTGTTCATCCATTTGTCATGGACACTGTGAGTTGGTACAAAACTATGACAGAAATAGTAGAAATTTGTCAAGATCTCTTGGTGGCTTCTAGCTCTTCCAAATCTTTCTCATGCCTGGTAAGTAGAACTGGAATCATCTTCATTGATTCAGACTATTTTACACTGCCCAACTGTCCAATATTGGAAAGTCTCATGACAAGTGCTTTTCACTGTTTCACATGTGAGAAGGCAGAATGCAACATGCCCTCTCTGAAACATTCACCAGGTAATAGAGACTGTATATGTTAAATGTCATGCTAACTGAAGAAAGATGTACTTTTAAAATCAAATTCATATCTGTTTTGCAGAATGTGTTGATGCCTATGCATTTAAAAAAAAGGACTGCTCACTGGATGATGGGAGTTCTTATCCTAGCATAATTACACAGATATGTGCAGTTCCCTACACGATTGGTTCTGATGCATGCTTGTAAGAAGCATACCTTTCAGTGTTTCCTGAAAGTAGCAACAGAGCGTGTTGCATTGCATACTTTAAATCTCCCTGCTACAAAAGGAGTCCCAAACTTGAGTTCTCTGTGATGCTGCTCTGCATCTCTCCACTGAGAGACAGAAAGAGATAGAGCAGTTTGAATGCCTCCATGGTGACTGTGTAGAGTCCAAGAAAACATAACCCAGTAGGCAGCTGAAACTCCAATTTTCTGAGCCTCAAACATTTGTTCTCCATCTGCTATTAGTCTTTTAACATTTCAAGCAAATAGATGACCTTTATGGTTACAGTAAGGTCACGATTGGTATTCTGTCAGGCCAAATAAAGCCTATATCTTCCTTCAGGGCAGTGTTTAAGCCTTTCCAAGGCTTTTCATAATTTTATTTTTATATGAACTTTAGATTATGACTTTGGCCATTTTAAAGTAGCATTTTATATTTCTTCTTCTCCTGACACTTGTTATGTGCAAGGAACCTCCACAGACAAATGGATACATGTTTGCATATAATGCATGTTGTAACATTACTTCCAATTTTTAATTGACTTCATGAGATACTAATATCCTTCCAAAATGATACTAGCTAAGTACCATGCTGCATTTCAACAGTTGCATGTTAATCTTGCTGCTGTCAGTACCACAATTGATCCTCCTGTTCCTGCATTCTCATTAAATCAAAATGTAATTTTTGTTCTGTCTGCAGGCAGACTGAGGAAGTGCTGTAAGCATAGTTGCAACTTTACACATATACAGAATGCATTGTGTGGCTTCAGACAAAACTGATATCATTTGGTCATATTTTGGGAAGGGAAGAATAATTTTATCTTCAAATATCTTTTAACAAAATTATTTTTGGATTAAAAGGTATTTAACCTTCAGAGTGATGTCTAAAATTATTTACTGTTAGCATTGAAATGATTCATGGATTTCAAATTAATTAATTTTGAAGTAGGGCTAAAATTTAGATTTCATAGGAATAATAAAAATCAGGTAAGTTTAATGTAATTTGTGCTTGGCTTGCTTGTACAATAGAAAACCATGTAGCCAAAAAAAGAGGCTATATTTCTTTAGAGAAATGTAAGCTATAGCTTAAAATAAAACTCCTTCTTAAGTGTTACTGGCAGTGTAAAGTGCACTGTTTATGAACAGATGGTGTATCTCCATTGAAATTTAGAAATGTTATCACAGCTCTTGCACAGTGACAAAGTAGCCAATTGGCAAGCTCAAATTTTATACAATGACTGTTTCTGCATTCAGCACGTGCTTCAGGGCATGGCTGGAACTTCAGGTAAATATCTAAGCAGCCTCTCATTGCTGAGGACAGTTCTGCCCTGGCTTCATTGTTATTGCTGCCTAGTTAGCTGTTTTAAAGTTAGTCTTTGGTGGTTTTGTATGGTGCCTGGTCACACCTCTGCATGATGTTGTGTAAGTTCATGGTGAGAAGTCCATGACCTTTATTCTGGCCTGACGTAACTCTTTCACTTGTAAAAACCTCCTGATTTGTAGCACGTAATATACCAAACATTTTGAACTCATACAGAAATAAAAATTTAATTGGCTAGGACTTTCTATAACTTCAGCTCTCTGGACCTCAAGCTCTGCATGGACTTAAGTTTTATTGTTCTCATTTTCAAAGGCAAAAAGCATCTCGTGCCAAGATCCACAAAGGAGGAGCGCAGGTGAAGTGAGAACCTGCTGCTTGACTTGCAAGTCACTACCTAACACAAAAGCTGTGCTGGTCTTTTCATAGCATTGGCTTCCCAAAAGATGTTACAGCTGTACCATTTCATTATTTATTTGTGGGCTCCTTTTGCAAGCCCTAATAAGATTGTTTTATGGTTATGTAAGTATGCAGATGCAAATTTCATATTATACTCCTCAATTTCCATACCAGTAAACTTTACATTAGATGCGATTTGAAATACGGGTAGGAACTAAAAGCAGTGCCTTTGACAGACTTAGTCTTTTTGAAAACAATCCTTTACATCCCAGCAAAACCAAGTAAATTGAGTGGCTGCAAAAGCATGCTGTATATGACTTACAGTGTGCATTAGAGAATCCAACAAGGAAGTCTACTAATGTAATTTTTTATTGTAATTTTTTTTTTTAATCTGGGCTCTTCCTTGAATAATTTTTATTAATATTGGCAGATTGCAGGCTGACTGCTTCACTTTAACAAATTACCGCCCACTAGACTAACCACTGCAACTGTTCTGTGTGCTACTCTAAGCTCACCTCAGCTCTAAAGCAATGTGGTTAACCTTTGAAATCTGATCACTAACAACCAACTAAGCATGGGACTAAGGCAGAATTAGGTATTCTTTTGGGTAAAAATAAACATAGATCATGTGAGACTTTTTTCTTCGACTACAACTTCAACTAAGTACTAACTAATTTGCCTTTTGCTCTGGTATTACAGCTCTGCTTTACAAGTAGGGATCTATTAAACTGCCTTATAATTCTTCCAGAATACCCATTTTTATTTTCCAACTTCAGGAAATGCAATTCTGCCATGAATTTTATTTGTCACCCTTTGTATGCTGTTCATTAGAGGAAAACTTCAAAAGATGTTGGTATTCTAGGACTCTCTTTCCCCTAGTTTTAAAATACAGAAGCAATTTGTTTAGATGCTTTTAGATTTTGTGAATTGTGAATGTCAACTCAAACATTGACTTACTAGTTTGCAGTTTGATTGAACCTACAGTAACTCTGATTCATCCATTCATAGAGTTCACGTCTGTCCTTTCATAATGGAGTTTATGAACTAGTAGAACCCAATGATAATCCGATGAATGCTGCTTGAAACAGCACCTGGAAAAATTGTTAGGTTGTGCTCCTGAACATGACTAAAATGCTGTTCAGACACCTTGGAGGCACTAGAGGGCAGGTGGCAGCTTGCACAGGGGACATCTACCTTTTGGATGTAAAGACTAAAAATAATGTACAGCTGCCTACTGTATTCCAATTCTAGCAAAATAAGGTCTGATAGTCATTGAATGTGGTATGGAAAAATCTTAGTGGTGTTTAAATAATTGGCGAAAGATAGTGCATGTGTCTTATATGTTTTATGAGGTATTTTTGTTACTTCTGGGTTTTAAGCCATCAAATAGTATTGAGGTTTTCCAGTGACCAAATGATGTCTATTGTTTCCCTCTTTATTTTACTTTCTTTTTAATTAATATTTCCTGTTGGCATACTATATTTTAATTAGAAAATGCTAAGTCACAGTCCCATCTTCCCACTGTATCTTTGTTCTGCTCCTTTTATTTAACATAGTCAGAGCACCAAGGCTGTTAGAGTTCAGAAAGTGTTTGGACAACACTCTCAGGCACATGATTCTTGGGGCTGTCCTGTGCAGGCCCAGGAGTTGGACTTCATGATTCTTGTGGGTCCCTTCCAGCTCGAGATTTTCTATGATTCTATGCTTGCTTTTCTCCTTTTACTTAAACATGGGGTTTTTTCATCTGCCTATGCTGAGTGCAGTAGCAAAGGCTCGAGTATATAGCCAAGATCCCCTCCAAGTTATTTACCTATCTTTGGGATGTAATGTGCTGATTGAGAATATTTTCAACGAGGCAAGCACTGTTTCTGAAAGATAGCCTCATTCAATTATCCTTGCAAAAAAATTCTAGTATTTTTTTCAAACCTAGCGACATTTTTCTGTATTTAAAACAAAATTTAACATTCTCTGTTGCTCTTGGATAAAATTGGAAGGGGAAAGACGTAGTCAGCTGGTCCCTGAAATTATCAACAGATAAAAATTACTAATTTTCCAAGTGTTTGTCTTGTAGAGCTTAATTCAGTTGCTGGTGCTCTGAAATGTTTTATAGCTCAATGTCTCTAATACTGGAAAGTGTTATTCACCCACTGATATGCCCAATTTGAAATGCTTAAAGTGACACTCAATTTTATTTTTTTAATGTATGTCATATTTGCAGTCTTATCTGCATATCATTCTTGGCAGTGTGTCTTTATTACTTCACAATATGTATGTGAAAAGATAGGCTTTTAGACATTGTCCACTTGGCTGTAAATTCTATTATTGTATTTCTTCTTAGGTATTTGTGTTAGCTGTATCTTGCACTCTCTTAGAATGCTCAGTGTCTCCTGTAACGCAAATGATCAGGAGAAAGGAATGGACATTGCCTCTCTGTATCACTTTTTTGGTAGCATTGTTCACCTTGGAATTGGCTGTGAGTCTCTTTGGAAAGCACTTTTCAGTGGAATAATAAGCTCTGTATAATTTTTATGCCCTTGAATTCTCTATGTTTCACGACAGTGTCAGGCAACAACATGTCAATCTGATGAAATCTGATGAAAAATACCAAATAAGTTGAAAGGGAGCTGTGAATTTTGCTTAAGAGGAATTAACTCTGGATCTTTGGTTAGCTATATAGACATTTAATATTGCTACGCCTCAGCAGGAAATGTATTTGAACAAAATACATTTTAAAGTGCTGTGTTTATGAAGGTTTTATGATTATCAAATGTCTTTTCTGAAGAAGACAGGAGAGATATGGGTAGAAGTTTTGAAACAGTTTGGAAAACGATTCTGAAGGGCACTGTAAAAATTCCTCCCCATTGTAATTTGTTAACATCATCTCATAGGAGGAAGATCATAATTTATGATAATAGTATATTTGTAAAGGATTTCATTTCTTGAGGTTCGTTTTTGGTTTTGAGGCATTTTTTTTATATTGTCGGTTTTTCAGTTAGGTAGAGGTGATGTTAACAAGAGGTTCCTCCTTTCCCTCCTTTACCCTTGAAAAAACTTAAAAATTCCCTGTACTCTCTTTGGCAGCACAAACACAGTGGAGACTTGTCAAGATAGTTGATGTGCCCATCTATTCAACAACTGATATGTGTTTTGTGTTCTTTGCACCAACAGATCTTGCTGCGAGAAGGTTGCAAAAAGATACTTGTTGCTGATTCTCTTTCTTTATTGAAGAAAATGCATCGAACTCAGATGAAGGGTGTTCTAGTAGATGGTAGGTACAGAGGAAATATGATGACTTTCAAGATTTTGAAGGCTTTTGCTTGGTTTATACACTACTTGACGGTCTGCTTTGGAAGTTGCCCAAAAGCCTGAGTATTGTACCTTATCTGTAGAGTGTAGTAGGATACTAGCTGCTTTCCCCCTTTGCAAAGGAACTACTTGTATGTCAAAATTTACAAGACCAAGCATGCAACTTTTTCTCTTGGTCAATCTCTGCATAGCCAGCAATGTATTGTGTCCTGCAGTTTGTAAAGGTGAAAAATGCTATTTAGTGCTGACACGGATAGTCAGATGCCACCAAGCAAAAGCCAATGGAAACAATGGAAAATATTTTGCAAGATGCTAATGATGCATATCAGCAGTGCTGTAATTCACGCCAGTTGAGTTTTAATAGCAAGACAGAAGCTGACAGGACAGAAGATCAGAGCTTCTGCTACAAAATGCTGCAGCGTTAACAGCCACTCATCCGATGCTCCTTTTTGTCAGTTTGCCTTTTGCATCTACAGCGCTGCTCCTAAACAGACTAGCTCCTGCAGTTCTACCATCATCAGAATCAGAAGATCTGAATATTTGTCATGCTGTTATTAGAAATGCTACTTCAGTATTGCTCTTCAATTTTTAATAGATTCTGTTAGGCATCTTAAGTAAATGCTTTAAGACTAAGCTCCATATCTGTAACAGCAGTATGTTCATGCCTGCTTTATAAAAAAGTAAGCATGGAGTTTGTTAACAAAGCTGTTCTAAGTTTTTGTTTGGTTTTTTTTCCCAGAGGAGAATATCTGTGAATCATGTCTGTCTCCAATACTTCCTTCAGGTAGGATGCTTTTCTAGAAAACAAAGAGGTTGTCAAATTTTTTTATTATTATTGTAAGAGGAACTATTGTTTGCTTTTATTCATAAAAATGTGTGGTAGTCTCCCTTGGTGATCGCTGTATAAATTTCAATCTCCTATGCAAGGCTTGCTTTTGAATTCTGACAGGGGAATGGAGTCTAAATGGAGGTCTTTTGTTGTAGTAAACTCAGTATTCTTTCTTATTCAACTTTGACTTCCTTATTTTCTGTTTTGAATACATGGAATTCAAGGCAGCTTTTAATTCCACCAACATACGTCTTCTCAAAGATTATTAAACCACAAAACTAACTGCTGCCACCAAATCTTGTCCACCTCTGTTGAACAATTTAGACTGAACTTGTAGATCATAAAGTTTTATGGAATGTACTTTTTTTCTGAGTGGTGGAGAGTTCTTGGCTTCAGTCACTACTGCCATATTTGAAACAACTTTATAACAGGCTGTAGTTTTAAAACATCTTCTAAAGTTAATTTTGAAACTAGAAATTCAGGATGTTGTTTTGGAGATGTACATTCTGCAAGGCAACTATAGTTCAGAAATATCAATATAGTTATTGAGCATCTTAAGGAGAAGTAATTTTACTAGGAGAGTATCTGTCATGGCATCTTCAAGCAAGAATATGTAAGATGAAGCATATGTATGGACGTTTGGGTTTTTTTGTTTGTTTGCTAAATGTTGATAGCCAAATTAAATCATTTATAGTTTTTTAATCTGTTTTCTACCATTTTTTCACTTAAATAAATAAATAAATAAACTATACTATGATCACGTGCACCCACATACAGACCAGGAAAATCTGGCAGAGCTGATTGTGCTAGTGCCTTGAGGTATGTGTTGAGGAAATGGGAGCCAAAGAGTAGAAAGTGGATGATGCTCATGGGTGAGATGCTTATTCTTTGGATTTGTGGATATTGTATGTAGGGTTCTAATTTGGCTAAATATTCATGTCGGAATCAAAACCCACATCATGCACTTAGGCAGCTTCTTGTCAAATTTCAAGATCATGATGTGCCACGTAGGCGCTAGAACTGCTCAGTGTTCTGGTTCTCATCGCATTACTGCAAGAATTTTTCTGCTAACTTCTCTTCAAAGAAGCTGAATTATTTAGTGCTAGTTTACTCTCCTCTCTGCCCAAATTTAGCATGTAGCATATATTGTACTGACATGAAAAATTCATGGTGAAAAAGTATACAGCATTTAAGCCACAGAATAGAATTGTTTTGTAACTCCATCACTGGGACACTTACCTGAAATCATCACTCTCCATGGTTTCTGTAAGTAAGCCCGAATAATTTGGAAATTAATTTGAGAAATGTTACTTGAAGTTTCTCTATGTATAATAGAATGTGGGCATATAGTGCTGTAGCCACTGAATTGTTTGTTTCATTGCCCTTTGAAATGAATTTATGTTTCTCTTTCCCAGATGCATCCAAATCCTTCAACGTGGTAGTGTTCCACTGCAGACATATGTTTCACAAAGAGTGCCTACCCGTATCTAACACAGTAAGGAACTAGCTTAATCTCTCTGACACCTTTGCCAAAGATAAAATGACACCTTTCCTTATGTCAACTGTGGAGAAGAAGTGGCTGTATCAGGAATTATATGACTACAGTAATAACTTGTGATGATACCACATAGTAGTATGTGACTAAGGAAAGGGGGTTTAGGGACACTGCAACTAAAGTTCATCCAATGTAGAAAGAAATCACTGCTGTTTGAGCAGTATTTTATTATTTTCTGCAATCTGAATATGTAATGCAGCTCTGAGACATACAGGGAATACAACCTGTCTAATTTTTTTAATTAATTCTTTTCCATTGCATCTTTCCCTTTAATTCAACATACTTAAAGGCAAGAATAAAGGTATCTTCTCAAGTGAACAATATTAAATGATTCTGATCCAGAGGACAAAAATCACTCAGAGTGAATATTTAAATATCTTTGTAATGATCTTTGTGGTCAGAACATGTTTTCCTTTATAAGTCTTTTTTTTTCTTCTTTCATTAACACAAACCACAAAAGTAACTTCTATCACAACAGAATATGACCGGTTTTGACTTTAGGAAGGAAAGTGTTAGAATGGTAACAAAATTGCATAGAAAGCTAAATTTAAGCTTTTCTAATTCTGTATCTGTCTCTGAAAAGTAACATCTACTGAAAAATAACTTCATTGAATCACTTAATCTGGAAGGAACCAAAGTGCTTGTAGCCATATGGTACAGCATGAATACTTAATATGTCATGAAAATCCTAATGTATTGGAACATTTGCATGAGAAAGCCCAACAACTAGTAAATATTTATTCAAACAATATTTACCCCTAATTTTATGGTGAGAAATAATCTAAAATTTATCTAGCATTCTCAATTTTCTGGGACAGGTGACTTGTTAGAATTTTTAAATGTGACGTGGATGTTACACGATATATATTCACAGTGTGTATGAATACACAGGTATTATGCATATGACTAAGCCAAATTTTCCTCTGCTATAGTATTTATTTCCTGGTCTTAGGTGATCACTTGTTACTGATATTTGGTTATTGGTGATATACTGAAAGAAAAGTAATGTCTGCACAAAACAGCACACAGAGCAAAACACAGAGTAACAATAAGCACATATTTGATATCAAATTACATTTTTTGGGCCCTGTTCTCAGTTGTTGGAAATCTGTGGAATGCTATCCAAAGGCTGTGCTGTAACTAAGGCATCCAGTGGTCATTGGAGCCGACCAAGTGACTTACTCGCTTCTTTATCTATGAAGATAATCAGTGATGCTTTTGATTATGCACTTTTTTATTTTTGATGTGAAGGAAGTTTGACCTTACTCTCTTGGTGGGTGTTGGTAGTGTTCTTGGAGTGAGTGGTGAGTTGTACTGCCCTCTGACTCCAGAACAGGCTGCCTTACAATGTTCATCTATATTGTCTTCCCTCACCTCTCCTTGACTATGTTCATAGGGAACAGCCTGACTGTGAGCAGTAATGCTGAGAAGGGCATTAGCATTTTTCATTCATCTTCAAATGTTCTTACATGGCTACATTTCCCTAAGAGATTCTTGCTTTCTTTTTTGATTTTTAGGTATCTCCTGTCCAGTTCTGCAACATATGCAGTGCCAAACACCGAGGCCCTGGAAGTGCAATCCTGGAGATGAAGAAATAGCAGTCCCCTAGTTCATCATGTCAGTCTGTGACACAAAATCTGTTAGGACCATGCGGGGCCACTGTATTTTTCTGTTAGACATCATTTCTGTATATAATTTTGATTGTGACTAAAAATTGGTTTCTGTAATTTATCCAGTTTATTGAGCATTTCTGGGAAAGAGAAAATGTAAAAATCTTTCCCTAGTAAGTCTTAGTAATGCAGTTCATATGTTATGGTTCCTTTGCTCAGCTTGTTACTTTACTCTGAACAGAAAACAAAAAGAAATAAAATTGGAAGGAAAGAAAACAGTTTGGAGATTTGTGTTTTCTATCAGTTAATGGACTTTACACTTTGGAGCCACATCACGCTCGTGGTTAGATATTGTAAAGAAAGATGTATTGCCATGAGTTCAGCTCACCAAACTCCTTAGTCCTGATTTAGTCTGCTAGTGACCTATTTACCTTGAGACCCCTAGGAGTCTGACTGCTTTCAGTGGAAGCTGTCTGTGTGCTGACTCCTACCTTCACTTAACAAACTTGTTAACTGTTAATTCCACACATTGGTAATTTACCTTGGTTGCACGTTCATAGTTTGTTATAAACTGGTGAATTTCTCAACTGATCTTCACAATACAATAGTTTAAAGTGGACTTTTCTCATTGTGAGAAACAGTCTCAAGGCTGAGTAATTTTCCAATTAGAACTTATTATATAATAAAAGCAAACAGCGCTGGGTGAACAGGTGGAGTTTTAGCAACTCCAAAGGCCTGTCACATTGAAAGCAGGCATAGGTTCGACATTTATTTCAACTACTTCATGCATATTCATTATACACAAGCATAAACATTATACATCGTTATGTCAGGAATTCAACAGATGTTTTCTTAGACTAATCTTTTATCTACAAAAAGTCGTAAATTCTCATAGCTTCGATAAGAAAGTGTTAACTAAACAGAGTTTCCACCATAACTCATGTACAAGGTAAAAGGGAGGTAATTTGTTTTATGTCTTTATAGGGGCCCAATTAAGTTTTATGATTTGTTTTTCTTCTCCAGGTTATACTGACCTTACTCGTTTTCTTTTTAATTGGAATGTTTTTGCACGAATCATTCTTTTCGTTTATTACATCATGTTCAACTCATCCAGAAACTTTATTTTTATATGTCAGCAGTAAGTCTTTACACTTATTCTGTAAGTATGATTGAAGTGTATGATTTCATTTAAGTACAGAGGGGAACAAAACTATATATAACCTTTCAAAGATAAGATCTCTAGGAGTTTCTTTTGGCCTTAGCAATTTTGCAGCTAAGTTAAATATTTCAATTGAATATTAACAAAACCATATTTTTAATTTCAACAGTGTTCTGTTTTGTTGATCTTTCAGATTGTCTTCACAGTAATGTAATTTGTTTATAATATTTGATGATTAAATTCAATATAAGCATCTTTTCACTAAGAAAAGTAATTTTCCAGAATTCCTAAGATTTTTCTGCTTTTTAATAACTTGATTTTGAAAGTAAAAATACAGTGTTTTACCATCAAATTATAAGGTTTAAACAAGTAGTTAACATAGTAAGTTCTGAAACAATGGTATAGTGATACTGCAGTCTGTCTGTAAAACTGGAAAATACAATGCATCTAAGTTCTTCTGTACGTTACTCCCATGTAGGTACACCTTAAAATAATTTCTATTTTGGAAACTTGGATTTCTAATTTATGTAAATTCATGATCCTCTGGGCAGTTGGCTGAGCTGGTCTAGCAATCTGAAGTATGATTTTTGCTGTCCAGTGTGCAAATCTCTAGAATAAAATTTTATGTGTTTAGCAATTCAAGGATTTAGTCTGCATAGTTACACAGACAAAATTATCGTTAAAGGATAGATATCTCAAAAACATAGTAATCATATTCTGTTGTGATAATACAGACAGCTGAGAAAAAAATAAAATATGATGCAAATTATTTGTGGACATGGAGTAGGTGGAATAACAGAAGGATGGGAGGTTTGTAGTGCAGAGCATAGTCTGTGTATGTCAAGCTTCACCCTTAAGAATTAGTGCCTGGCTTTGTAGCAGTTCATTTTCAGCAGCTAGTACACATTCTCAGGTATATTGTTCATTTATCCATTCTTTACTACACTGATCAGGAAAGCTGCCTTGATTCCTAGTAAGCAAAATGTTCCAGTGAGCTCAAGGGTTGTTGCACCATGATATTTGAGTTGTTGCGTGCCATGACTGTAGACAAGTTTTAAAAATTTTGAAAACCCTGTTCTTCAGTAGCTGTAAGCAGCTTTTCTATATTATACCCTAAGAATGCCATAAGCTGTCAGCTTACAGGAGGAAAAAGTCAAATTACTCCTATACATTTATGTCACAAAGTGTTCTGTAGTTTAGAGTTATATGATAATTTCAAGCAGGTATATTTTTTACTTCAGCTTGGCCTTAAATTCCCTAAAGCATTTGAGTGTTCTGTGACTCAGTTTGCTAGTCTTCCATCACCAGCAATCATATTGCATTGTACCCTGGCATATTCTTTACATTATGCAAGTAATTTTAAATCACTGTATGAAAATCTAATCAAAATCTTCTCTAAATCCAAAGCTTCTTTCATTTGGGCTTCGGGGACTACCCCTTTTCATGTTCCTGAATTCTAAATCTGCTCATTAAGATTCAGCACAAAGTGTACAGACCTGACTTTGATTCACTTTTCCTCCTAAGAAGCCTTCACATCACAGAAAATGTCTGAGGTTAGGGTCTAAAATATTCAGCTACCCAAGAGCTTTTCTTCTGGAGAAGAGTTCTGCCTAAGAAGTAGCCTTAAAGTTGCAGAGGCCTTCAGAAAAGTACAGAGTAACACTTACCCAGTTTCGCCAGTGCTTATTTAAAATGTCAATCCATTTATCAAAGTTCTTGTACTTCTAAGGTAAACTTAAGATAAATACTATTTTTTCTCTGATACATCCAGTTCTGTGTGAGTTCTTGACCAATAAAGCTAACTGAAAGGATTTGTGGTGGATGAAGTAAGCACACATTGCTCTGTTGTATCAAAAGAGACAAAACTGTTTTGACTAAAATGAGTCCTTGGATGATTTTTCTCATCTATCTTTGTTTTATTATTTTGAACCCACAACACTGTATGATATGCTTGGTGACAATGTTGGGCTACACCGAAGATTTTGTGGGCCCAAAAGACTGCTTGAGGTGCTTGGTGAGCATGAGGCTATTTAGTCCTGCTGAGAGCTCAGTTAAAGTGACAGCATCAGGATATAGGTTGACTTCTGCAAAAAGTGGGACTGGGAGGGACCTGCCAGAAGTAAACCTCTAGCCAGCAGTTTGTGTAGCAAATAGGAGGTGTCTGTTGCTCTTGTAATAAATGAATTATTTATTGGGTGATTTTTTTGTGGCTGACAAACAATGCCTGAAAAGGACTGGGACAGGCAGATCTTTTGGGTCTCCTTGAAGTTAAGAAATGCATGATTGGCATTTGCTGTCTCCTGCTACAGCTGAATCTCATGTGTTTACTGGCTGGTAGCTGTGTCTCTGTGGGCTTGAGGCAGCTGCTCTACCAGATCAGCGATGTATTGAATCAGCTGTGTGTGATGCTTGGGCAAGAGTCTGCTGCCTACCATTACATGATTCAGTGTAACATAATTTGGTTAATACTTCAAGGAGCTGTTCTATATACAAAGATAAATCCTCTTTCTACAGCTGCACTGACCTGCAGGAAACCTGCAGGTTTGGGTATTGTGTGTTGGAACACAAGTGAGTTCAATATCTGGCACTAATTTTGTGTTACAGAGCAAGAGCAAAAACAAAATGAGTTCCTTTCCCAGTTTTGGATCCACATCATATTCCTATTTGAAATAAGTGTTTTCATGGACAGTTACTGCCAAGGGTTTGACAGCAGGTTTGTCAAGCACTACTGTAAAGCAACTAACAAGAAATACCCAGTGTCTGCTCTGTTTTGTAATATGTTTTTATCAGGAGACTGTGCTGCAACATCTTATTCTAAATTTTGGCTGATAGTTGGGTAGAGGCTGTCAATATTGTGTATAGACTGCATAGGTTGACTTAGCAAGTTTTCATCTTAAGAAATTCAGTCACTTTCTATCTTAGGCTTAGTGTTTATTCAGCTAGAGTCTTTTAAGCAGGCACTGCTTTATTCTTTGCTGTTGAGTACACTACCACTGAGGTTTTTCTGCTTGGTGAGTAGAGTTACTGTCTGCAATCCAAGGGAACTGGAATTACAAATAATCTCTTAAATGAAAACCTCACGTTGGATTTCCTGCTACTGAAGTGTTGTGACTTAGCATTCAAGTATTGTATGTCTCCAGTCACCTTGGAAAATACAGTGTCATCTCTGCAGGTTGGTTGGACCAGTCCCTGCCTGTGTTATTTGATAGCAGTTTGAAAAAATACTTGCAGGAAAATTCCTACCTAATGCTGAAGATGGACGGTTACCTGAATGAGGAAAATCTCTCTGAGATACCAGTCTTCTCTCTCCTGTTGTACACTTCTGACACCATATTCAGGCAGCATAACTTTTGCTCCCGTTTATAAATGCTAGACGTAACATCAGGGTCTCTTCTTCTCCAGAATAGCTTCCCCCTCCAGTGGATCTTTGCCAAGTACTAGCTATAAATCAACTGCTGTACTCCCAAAACAATTTAAACAAGACTTGTAAGAAATCACATTTGGAGAATGACTCTTTAATTATATACTTTTGGGACTGTGTTCTTATTCTACTGTGCCATGAAAGATTAATTTTTCCTTGGCATTAGAAATATCCCTAGATGATGTTTTTTCTGTTCTTCAAGACAATGTGTGCTTTCTTTTACAGTAATCAAATATTAAATTATGCAGAAAACAGGACATCTGAAGTATCTGAGGCATCAAATGTGGAAGAGAATAGAGTGTGTGAGTTCTAAGAGAAGTCAATGAGTCATAGTGGGAATGACCTAAATTTCGTCTTAAAAGGCTTCCATAAATGGGGATCATAATAAGCTTTTGCAATAGAGCAGGTCTTAGAGGTTCTGCTGTGTTCAGGCTGTGACATTCTCCCAGGAGTCTGTAATCTGAATGGACAAGGCTGCCAGTGGCATCTGCTCCTGGGTTGTGCTTAGGATCAGTTGTGGTGCAGGAGTCAGAAATGTGCTGAGTGGAGGCTAGTACCCCTCCAGCCTGGAAGAGCTGCCAGAGCTGGAGCTGTAGTAGCAGAATTAAGAGCTAGAAAGTGGCAAGAACTGCAGAGGGCATTTGAGTTATTCGTTGTGTTTTTCTCCCCTTGCTTTTAGTCTGATCCCAGTAGGATTT